ATTGCGCAGTTAGAAAATAATATCATGGATACGAGTGACCAATAAAAAAGGGACAAATCAGAAGATTTACCTTGTACCGGAAAACAAAAGAGTATCGTTGGGAAGTAAACAAGTGGAAAAGAGAGGTTGGTCCGAGACACTGGTGAGGGGTGCATGTTGTCCTGTGGCTCCCGAAAATAACATCAAAAACACCAGGAAGCAATCCACTCAGACCCAACAGCCATCTTCAATGAACGAGTACAGCTGACAAACCACAACTAATGTGAGGTTAGAGTGACGATCGAAAATTCAGATGCAGAACGAAATAAACATAAGTCCAGTTGCATAAGCATAAGCGTATTCTCCAAAAACATAAAGTAAAGTGTTGCGAATTTGAACTAAAAACAGTTTGTGAAATAGAAAACTTCAGTTCAAACCATAAACAATTTCAGTGGATAAAATTAAAAATGACAGTTTTGAACATTTCCTAATTTAGGAATTAGTTTAGTTTCGATGTTCGTAATATAAGTTAATTTGTTTCATAAAACTTTTAAAACATTAATAATTAGTTAACCAAATACTTTTCATATCATGTTAGATAGAGTAAAGGAATTTCTCCGATATTTAGTCATGTAAAAGTCTATAAAAAAATCTAGTTTCTGTGTTTATCACCATATTGTTCGGAATTTAAATATTAATACTTAATAAATGTCATATTGTGAAAATAGTTAAAATTTCGCTTTTATTCAATGCTTCTTACAAAAAAATTAATAGTAAAGGTAAATTTAAAATCACATAGAACCGCTTCTCTGAGGTAAGATCTCATGCTGTTAATTGAACAAGTGTTTTTGAGGGACAGTGTAGAAATTATCAATAAACATTCCTATCTACACTGAAAAAAATTAACCTACACTGTTAACATTATTCATGCAAGGTAAAGCTGCCGGAGGAGAATTTAGCAAAACGAAGGTAAGAAAGTACAATTCGTCTATATTTGTCATTGTAATTATTAAATTTTATTAAGAGAACCTACATTCTACACAACTAAAGGCGCCCAAACGAATATTCAAAATTACACAAATAATATTTAATCATTACACACACACACACACACACAAAATACTTACAAAAACAAAATTAAAAATAAAATAATAAAATAAATATTATTATCAGTTTTATGTCACAGGCAACAAAGTATTAATTAAAACGATACATTTTATAAATTATAATTATATTATAGATACCTACTTTGTTTTCAAATAGTTTATCGTCTGATACTAGACTTAAATCACGTGGACTATAAATGTACTGATAGAGAGTGGTTAGTTTTTACCTTTGATAACCTTTGTTTCAGTTCAATTTTCCAAGTTCGTTTACCCATATTTTCCATTTACCGATTTATTATATTTAACAATATACATATATAGGTATATATGCAAGTTAAAAATATTATTAATGTATCATTTCAATTGATCTCATTGCTCTTTAGAAGATGTAAAAAATGTTTAACATTTGGGTAGCTAGACTTAGCTCTATTCAAAGTTGTTGATTTGTTTAGCCCCCAGAGGCCTTCAAAAAGTTAAACAAGAAAATTTCAAGAATTTTTCGTTTCCAATTTTTTTTAAAACGCTTCCATGAAATTTGATATGCTGGTTCGATACAAATCTGATGCAACTGTCTTAAAAAATTTGATTTACTTGAAAATAACCACAAAATAATCGATTATGGAATCCAGAAATTTAATTGTAGGTAATCGAAAGTTATTAGAGTACACTCATCGTTTTCAGTAACGCATACTTCAGTATAAAAAAATACTTAACCGCTCTCCGTGAAAGCATTGGGTATTTTTATATTAGACAGGGTGTAACTAAAAGGCTTATGCAAACTTTAATTAACGAAAAAAAAAATAGTGAAAATACATAGTTTACTTCAAGCTGCAAAAAAACAACATAGCTTGTGGTTTTGCAGCTAAATATTTTATTTTATTCATTGATAAAATGAATTATTCTGATTATTTAAAAAATAACTTGATGTCATGCTTGATTTAGCAATACTTACGAGTGCATGATACATAATGAGCAGAAACACATTTTTATTAAAGCTTCAATAATAATAACAGATCAGAATTTAAAAAATCTTGGAGGGAAAACAATTTCTAGCGAAAATATTAAGACAATAACCGAAACTATGAAACTAAACCCCTACATATATAAAAACTGCGGCATGTTCATATTAATTATGCATAATCAGAAACTAAATCGTAATGTCAAATTTTACCCGCTATTTAAAAAAATATGTGGTTCTTTTGAAATTTTTAACATGACGTTAAAGCATTTTCGGGTACATTTTACATAAATTTTTTCATTAATTTGTGATGTAAAATCCGTTACCAAAATTTGTATTTCAATTACATCTTGTATAAACAAAGGTGATATGAAATTCCATTCATACGAAATTTTGGGAAACCCTCTATTTATATTTTCATTCGAGTATTTGACTAGAGTTTTCAAATTCCTCTTTCGAATTATCGAAAAAATATTATGTTAATCATTACGTATAGTTCCAAGTAACTTTAATTCAATAATTAAATTTTATGGTAATTCGAAACATAGAAACGGAAATCAATTTATGATCTTTTCTCTTAAATAAAAAATTGTTTAAAATATGGAAACGGTATCAGTTTAAAACTAGACTAATAAATCTTATAATACAGGGTGATAGAGGGCACAAAAATGAGCAACTTTTATTAAGCAACTAATGATTTAAATGCTTTTGTTTTCAAGAAAATTAATTAAGAAAACGAACCATAAATGTAAGCCGACCCTGTGCATCTTGTGCACGTGCACGGCCAGAATACTTCTGTCTCGCTACATGCGTGAAGCGCTTCTCTGATTGGCTGACCTTCCACGTGACTTCGACAATTAAGCAAATCTGATGGTAGGTCAGTATGCCGTGTTCTTTAGTTGTGTGTTGCAGTATTACTTAGCCGGCGTATAAAATGTTTTCTAATCAAGAACTAGCAGATATGGTGTTTACGTACGGAGAATGACAGTACAATTATTTAAATGATGCTTGTCGTTTGTATGCGGCTCGTTGTCATAACAGACGACAACCTAACAGTACAACAGTGCAAAAGGCATTTCAAAGATTACAGGATACCGGAATGTCCACCTGAGATATGAAGGTCGTGGACAGGAAAGGCCGCAGCATATTTTCGAACGAAGAATACATCATAAACCTCATTAAGGAAGATCCAAGGCGCAGTACTCGCGACATTGACCAAGAAGAGTTTGTATCTAACAGTGCAGTGTGGCATGTACTACGGAAACAATTGTTACACCCCTACCATGTACAAAGGGTTCAGGCGTTAAATAATGATTTTCAGCCCCGTGTGGAATTTTGCCAATGGTTTCGACATTAAATAACACAAGATCCGGATTTTATAAACAAGCTGCTTTTTACGGATGAATGTTGTTTTACTAGAGACGGTATACTAAATTTTCACAATATTCACTATTGTTATGGTGCAAATCCTCAGGGTGTACAGAGATCTCGATTCCAGCAACGGGTTTCAGGGAATGTGTGGTGTGGTGTTTTTGATGACAGATTACCCGGCCCAATAGTGTTACCTGCACTTTTAAATGGTGCTGCTTATTTAGTTTTTAATAAACGCCTTACCGGGTTTCTTGAGGAAGACGTTCCTTTACAAATCCGTGACCAAATGTTATTCGTGCATTATAGTGCTCCTCCCCATGTTTCTCGTGCAATTTGTGAATTTTTACATATCAACTTTCCGGACCCTGTACTTTGGCCAGCACGAAGTCCGAATGAACCCTCTGGACTTTTTTGTTTGGAGGCGTACGAAACAAAATGTGTACCCAACGCCTATTGTCGATGCAGCAGATCTTCAACAGCGTATTTTTGCTACAGCTAATGAAATTTGACAAATGCCATTTGCACGTATGCGGACTAATTTTGACCATCGTTTGAAAGCATGCTTATTAGCACATGGAAACAACATTGAACAATTTTTGTAGAGCATATCCTCTATTGGTATTCGTCAGCATTTTCGAACACAAAATTGAAACCGTCAAAACCGCCATCAGCGCTTTCGCACTACAACGCGCAGCAACTTCGATATCAAAGTACAGCTGGCATCAGAAACGACGTTAAATTTATTTAAAACTTCATGTGAAAATTTTTCAATTTAAAACATAATGTTTTAGACCATCAATTGCTTAATAAAAGTTGCTCGTGACCTCTATCGCCCTTTTCAAGGAACGCACTTATTTCAGAAACACCCTGTATACTAATCACAAATTGCTGTAAATGGGTACATAAAACATTTAGTTAATATGGAATCAACAATTCTGTACAAGTATATACGAAAAATAATCTTCTTAAATTTTCGTCCAATGCTGAAACCTCAAATAAATTATTTGTTAAAAAAATACTTTGTTTCAAGGACGGACGTACATCTGCATAAGATTATAACAGTGGGACGTAAGATTATAACGGTGTAGGTTAAACTAATAACAGAATATTTATCTGCATTTGTTTTTTTTTTAATCTAAAATCGGTTATTGAAGTTACTTGAATATTATATTTATTTACAAATAAAAGTACCTAACTTATCTTCCTATACAGTTTCTGTTGGAAAAAAGTATTGAAATTTTTACGGAAAAATGGTTCTTTTTAAAAAACAAATCTTCTAGAATATATCAATTTGTTTTTTTTTTAATACAGGGCAGGGTTTAGGACAGAATCCCCATTGCATTTAAACTTGTGAATATTAAACGTCTGGAACATCGAAAACAATAAAATTGATTTAAAATTTTGTAAACAACTTAATAAGATTTGTAGAACCGTATATTCTCATCCTAGACTAGAACATAAATATTTTTCTAGGTGGAAAAGAAAACAATATAACTTCTACAACAATTATCTCAAGTATACTATGAGATAAGAACATGCGTATAAAAGCGTTCCATTGACATCTTCATCTCAGTTGAGTTCAATCGTTGGCTGAGAGTTCTAGAGTGAATAGTGTGAACCATTTACGTACTTCTACATTTGAAAAAATGGAAGACAGGACTTTGATTATGCTTTTCTATTACGCAGTTATCTTTATAGAGACAAAAATGTTCAACCACCCCAGTGAAAATTTATAACAGTGCGCGAATATTTTTTTAGTGTAAAACTTATCTCGTATTCAGATATTGTGTATATAAAAGAAAAAAAAATTGATTATTACAGTTACGGATCAATTTCCATACCAATCATGGACAGGTCGGAAAAAGTACCTCTTTATCCAAAAGTTACCAGGCACTACGAGGTTCCTACAATTTTGGGAGTGTGCCGTTCTTCCTGTTACTTTTCCATGTACCTTTGTGGTTATGCTATGTTTCTGTTTACCGGCGCAATAATTTTCAGCATTTTAGAAGCTCCTGAAGAAAATGCGTTGAGAATAAGGTTGGATACTGCTAGGCAGAGATTTTTGGCAGCACATCCTACTGTGACAGGTTGGTTACAACAAACCGAGCTACAAACCCAACACATTATCAATTATGAAATACATATTTCCCAAACTTATTTTATAATTCTTATTAAAATATATTTGAATATCCCTGGTAGCAAAATCTTGCACAAGCCACCTATACAAGACTGCTGTGTACCTATCGCCGAAATCAGCATCATGTTTACTACAAGATTCATTGTGCAATTGTCTTGATCAAAGCTTTCAATGGATTTGATTCAGGGCACTTGAGCACAAACGAATAAATTAAAGCAAGTGACTATGTTGCAGACTTACATTAGAATTAAGTAAGACATATTGTACTTGACTTATACTAATTCACCCCTTTGGACTCAAGTACTTTTGGTTAAGTCTGATGCAAGTATTGTAAAAGTATCTTGCATAAGAAACGACATAAATTTCAGCAATAGACACAAAACAATCTGACACAATTTGGCTATTTCAAGTAAACTTGAAACAACTTGTATTGCACACGATTGTGCTACCAGGGAGTTTCGATCTCATATAATATATGACATGCTATGTTTATCTTATCTCTGTAGTTTTTAAGATATACTCGGTCATTCAGAATTATAGTAGGATCATATTCGATGCAAAGTAATAAATCATTGCCTATCAAGGGATCCAATGCAGTGCGGTTTTAAAAGGTTTAGAAATTGAATAATTTCTTTATGCATTATGAAGGAATGAAGGGATCAGTTCACGTCTGGCACCCCTGTTCCTACAAAAATCCCTTTATTCTCAAAAACTATTTATTTTAAATGTAAATTTTTAAATTCCACATATGTAAGTACTACATTTTATCTCTGCACGTGCCTCTGTTGTTTACTTGTTTTTTGGAGGCGGTCTCTGATTTACGACCAAGCTCGCCAGGTAAGTATTTGACAAATAACCGACCACTTCGTACACTCGATGCACCTGGGCGACTACAACTACTACCAGAACACAATGCGTATGTAGCGGTATTTCAGATTTTACATTCAATTTCATGAAATGGTTCATCTTACGCGTCCTAAAAATGATGGCACGATTTTCCTTTGAAAAGACTGACAATTTTTTGCTCTACTTTACATCGAATACGATCCTACTATAAGTTCTATGTACACTTCTATAAATTGACAAATATTTTTATATGTAAAGTGAAAATAGTCCCTATACATGAAAGTATATTTTAGCACTAGTATTTTCACAATTGTTTCATTCAAGGCACTTCTTCTACCGAAAGTTCCACCTAATTTGCGCACAGTCTCAGCTACACTTTCAGGCATCCTTCCTGTTGGAATGTAGCACAAAATGGCTACGTAGCTTGCCGGGCTGTGTCAACTATGATTACTACGCGCTAAATAAATATTTAGTAATTGTTGTAAAATTACTTCAACCTTGTAACCAAAAATTATTATTTTTAATTGTTAAAAAGTAGGCCCCAAATAAAGTCAATTACCTAGTGCAATAAGTTATCTACTCACATTTAATAGAAGAAATGTACTTAGTAACTGTAAAAAGGTGCTCTCTTCTAGTAAAGCATCGACTTCAGGTAGAAAAATCGTGTTAACAAAATAGTGTTTATTAAGCTTGACATCAGCATATAATATTTTAACACTAAGAAGAAAAAATCTTATCCCTCAGTGTAGTCACAAAGCAGAAACTTTTATTTAAAAAAAACGCAAAACAATGTTGCAATCGTCGAATCACTGCAATAAACATGATGTTCACTCTACATTTCATCCACTAGGATTCATCTCGGACGAACATAGTGGAACAGGTTCTATTTGCATCCATCGTTCATTCCAGATGATTTTTGTATGATTTACTATTTACGTGTTCACATTGTTCACCTTTCATGCCCGTTGAGAGGATTCATCCGTGTTATTATCCAATGTGACCCTCCGTGAAAATGCATGTTAAGTGTTTTACAAAGTAAATTCATCAACATCATTTTCATTACAAAAAAGAACGAATGTACTTCTCTAGAGGAAGATTTATATGTTGATGAATTTACTTTGGAATACACTTAACATGTACGAATGTACTTCTCTAGAGGAAAATTTATATGTACTGATCTTTTCAATGGAATATAAGGCCAGATGGACAAGGACACTATCCAACGTCAACCAACAGACAAAATATAGGTTGTAGGCTTCAAATTCTTGAAGTATAATCATCTCATTTTCGGTTACTTTTGGAAGTACTCTCGTATTTTCTACAACTAACATTAAACATTAAACTGCTTGCTCTTAAGGACAAAGTTTTGATATCTCTTTAGCTCCCACAGTATTGATAACAATTTTTTTAAATTCTTCCGGCCAGACATGCAGGCATTATATAAAAGGACAAAGACCTTGAACGCCCCTAGGTTTATCAGCTCGACATATGAATCAAATGTTTGTACAAAACGTCAAAGATTATCTGGAGTACTTAAACAAGCCTATTATTGTGGAAGATTACAGAAGTTTGTTATGATTTCAAAAGGCCGGCGTCTTTATCAATCTCGCACTTGTGGTAATATCTACGTTCACGTGGTGTGGCACTTGTTCCATAAGGTCGTGACTTTAAAAGTTTAGAATGATTAAATTGTTAAATATTTTGAAACCGCTGTATCTAGGCAAGCGGCCATTCAGTCTGGGTCACCTTCTCCTTATATTGTTAGAAATCTTTTGTAAATGGAGCCAGTATAGAGTCCAGGGGAGGTTTGATTGTACACGAGGGTTGAATTCACATAAAGCAATGTTTACCAGTGGCCGAAAGAGACGGCACGTCAAATGAGTCAATATATTGACGCCTCTGGCAAAGATAAGCTCACATTTTCGATGTTCTAAAAAAGTTCGGAAACGCCTTTAATAACATACCGGATGGAGCGCCCATTAAATAACTTTTTAGTTAGCGTTTCTGTGGGTATAAACAATTTCTCGATACAGTATTTTTAGGGTACATTTTCTTATGTTAATTCTTATATCCAATTCAATTAAAATTATATTTTCAAGAAAGTTAGAGAGTCATTAACAATAATTAATAATAAAAAGCTTGGAGCACATACTGCTGGAAGTAGCCTCCCAACAGCTTGGAGCGTTACAAGGCGAAGAGAGATATAGCTCCTATGAAGGTACCTGCTACCTCTCTCTCTTACCGATGTGATTGGCTGTTCCTGTCACGTAGTCCTAGAGGGGATCAGTCGTGAGCCAATCATGTTCGGCCAGAGATAGAGACTGCATAGCAGCTATCTCTTTCTTCATCTTCTAACGCGTCTGGCCATTAGGAGGCTACCTCCAATAGTCCAACAGTATAGCTGGAAGATAAAAGGTGATTCAGAACTTAAAAAAATTAGATGTGTATATCGTTAAAAATAAAAACGACTTTGTTAGGGTTTGGTTTTTCTTATACAACGCGATAACGAAATATTAAGTTCTAATACTCAGTAATCAATTCGATCAATTATTATTCTTCTTTAATTTGTTTAGTAGGTAATAGATTTTAATTAATTAGTGCAATGTAGCTCAGTACTTTTTTTGTGCTCCAAGTGATTAAAAAAAAATTAAAATACAATATCCGTTTTTCTATTTTTTCAAATTATTAAGTAGTTAGTGTAGCTACTAGCACTTTGTTAATTAATTATTGTAGTGTAGTTTAGTGTATTTTTAACACTAAATTTCACACCTATTACAAACAGCAGATTTGTAAACCACCTTTTGTGACATTAAAGTACAGTTGAATTTCAATTTAATACAAAAATTACGGGAATGGGTTCCTTATCAAAAAATTAGAAGAGTGCGGTATGGCGTATATCATTAGTTAATCGATCATTTTTCCAGTGGCAAACAAGTGGGTTTTCAAAAACTGGTACCTAATTATGACATGGTCTTCTTTTACATGTCTTTACACATTTATTTAGACCAATTTGTAGCTACACCCACCTAATTTGTTTTGGATAAGTTTTGATCACCCCCTGTATGATATTTGTTACTTTTAAATCTCACTTTACTATAATAATCAGCTACTGATTTAAGTTATTTTATACAAAATCAGCTATCAGATGTTTAATAATATAAATGTTATCTAACAGAACAAATATTGAATAATAATAATATTATCTATATTTGCAACAATTTATTGTGGTAATATACGAGTATGTATATATAGGTGTACCAGACAGACGCTAATATTTATTATTTTTTTTATTGTTTCTGTATCTACCTGATATGAAGTTGCGCTTTGTACAGAGAGTTGAAACTTGAGTTAATAATTTTCTTAATTAAATATATTATCAATCAATCAACCAGTGGTGGAGATATTGGCGGGTCTGTCACTAAAAGATCACAAAATTTCTATGTCGCTGAGTATTCTGGAAATTTTTATGAGCACATTATTAATAATCATAATATGATTATTAAGAAAAAACAAAGTCTAAAACAACCCAAAGAACAATATGCTGCAGTTATGAGTCTTAAAAAAGCACTTGGTATATACAGGTTTAACAATTTTATAATTTTGTGAGCAGATGGAAATAATGACAATAAATTAACTATTATGTAAACAAATGTCAAAAGCTCAATCTTTTCCGATTTATTTTCTTAAATAACTTTAAAATGATATTTTAATGTAATATACTATTAGAGTATATGTATAAGACAATAACACAATATAATTTTTGGGATTCTCACCTCCCTGTCTACCCTATAAAAATTTTATATGTACGCCTGTAATGATCTAATTGACATTCGCCAATACAAAATTAATTATTAGAGATATGAAATACAGGTTTTCCGACAATTTCGTTTTTTATTTAGAGAAGCTATGATAAAAATTGAAAAAAATATATACAGGGTGTCCCAGAATAGCGTGTACAACGGAAGACCACAGATTCGTGGACTCAAAATAGGCAGATTTAGACTAATTCACCTATATCCAAAATCGCTTCGTTTGGCCGCTAGATGGCCTCAAAGTTGATGAAAATTTTTTAAATTTTGTAAAAAACTGGGATACGTATTATTCGATTTCGATTATTTTTGCGGTGTAGACTTCTGCTATGAACCTATACATTTTGGTGTTATACAGAGCGTTTTTTAAAACTTACAACTCCTACAAAATTGATGTATGGTGATAATATCCGTTCATAACTTTTTCCTCTCTAGGGCAATAATGACAATTATTTTTTATTTGATAGGTGATGCCATTTGGAAGTTTTTGGGCCTCTTGTAGAATTTTAATTAAATGAGAGGTTTGGGTACAGAAAAATATTTTTCAAATGTCTACATTATCTTGCCACCCATATTACAATACTTAACAGTGCTAGTAGGTACTGATTTTGTAGACTGACTATAATTTCAGTTGGATCTTTAAGTCATTGTACCTGCCAATTCTTAATGAGTTTACGATAAGATATACCACATGTTACTTCGATATAGATACACATACAACGAATTATTTATAACGTGCCTAATTTCATTAAAATAATTAATAAAAAACAATCAAATACAATAAAAAATGCTGGAGATAAAAATAACAAAGTTGATGTTATTAGATTTAGTATAACTTATTATAAAAACTGTTCAAAATGACCACGGTTGTTTCTACAACGAAGATTAATTCGGCAAATAAAGTTAAAGGACACCCTTTGCAGTTCTTGAGGGCAATTTTTTAATACATTTATGGCAATTTGGATATGTCTCCACAACTCTTCTTCACTGTTAGATGTGGAAGCACACACTGTTGTTTTCAAAGTACCCCAAAGATAATAGTCGCAAGGTGTTAAGTCTGATGAACGAACAGGTCAGTTAACAGGAACATTATCCCCTCTACCAAATCCATCGATGAGGGAATCTTTGATACTGCCGGACATTGACAGTAAAATGTGGTGGAGCTCCATCATGCATAAACCACATGTTAGCTCTGAGCAATAATGCCACATCTTCCAATAACTCGGGTAAAGGGTTTTGCAAAAATTCTAAACAAAATTCGCCATTCAGTCTATTGGGTAGAATAACAGGGTCAATAATAATGCTGTCATTTGATTGATTGTTTTTTTTTAATTTTTTAATAAAATTTGGCATGTAAATAATTTTAATTCGCCGTATGTGTGTATATCCAAGTAACATGTAGTACATATTATCGTCGTAAACACTCATTAAGAATTATTGTCCGGCACAATGACTTAAAGATCAAACTGAAATTACAGTCAACCTATAAAATCAGTGCCTCTAAAAAAGAAAATTCTACAAAAACTTCCAAATGGTATCACCCATCAAATAAAAAATATGTAGTTGTCATTATTGCCCAAAAGAGGAAAAGTTATGAACGGATATTCTCACCGTACATCAATTTGTAGGAATTGTATGTTTTAAAAAATACTCTGTATAACACCAAAATGTGTAGATTGAAAACAAAAGTCTACACTCCAAAAATAATCAAAATCGATTAATACGTATTCGAGTTATTTACAAAATTCAAAATAATTTCACGAACTTTGAAGCCATCTAGCTTCCAAACAAAGCGATTTTGGATATAGGTGAATTGGCCTAAATCTGCCTATTTTAAGTTCACGAATCTATGGTCTTTCATTGTACACGATAATCTGGGACACCCTGTATATGAACATACTTCTTAAAATGTTTTTCAATAGTACTGCGATGGTTCCAGTGCTATAAAATAAAACTCATCTTTGGGAGAATATTTAAGTACACAGTTTTTCTTTCCTTCAAATTTAAAATGGAAATTTTCGAACACCTTGTATGTATTTCTGTCCAGTCAACACTAAAGATTTATCTGTAATTAAGTTTGTAATACTCAAAATCCATAGCAAATACCAAAAGACCATGTTTCTTTTGTACTCTAGCAATATATTATATATTACATTCAAATAAGTATTTAGCTCGAATAAGTCATTTGGAAAAACATTTTTCAAGCTGCTATCAAAAATGGTTGAGTTTTCGACATATATTTATGTAACAAAGTTATTTTCGCTTGTTCTACCTCCTCCCAAATTATTAAGACAAAAAAACTGTTACCTACATGGTGTATATCAACCAGACTCCCAAAAAATTTGCATTACTTAAAAAAAAAAAAGAAAACGTTTTGTCGTCTTTCTTTTCATCCGTAAACATACATAAATCCATATGAAAGTTTATAGTCACTGAACATTACATTTTAACGTTACAGATCAGGCATTGGAGGACTTAATAAGTGAAGTGGTAAAAGCAAGCAACAGAGGGGTGTCTGCAATAAGAAATGCTACCGGCGAGCCAAATTGGAGTTTCGGACAATCACTATTCTTTTCTAGCACTGTTGTAACAACAATTGGTAAGTCGTGGAACATTTTTTAGCTATGAATGCTACTGTTGAAAATTAAGTAATATAATTTTTTGTGTAAACTCAATTTTAATGTGTACGAAAATAAAAAAAATTGTATAAATAGGTTACGGACATGTAACTCCACTCAGCAGAACCGGGAAAATCTTCTGCATCATTTATGCCATGATTGGTATTCCCATGACTCTGGTACTACTCTCAGCTTTGGTTGAACGCCTACTAATACCCACCATCTGGTTGTTACAGTGGCTTAATTCAAGACTTGGTCACTTGTACCAACCCTTTAATATAAGGATTCTACATCTGTTAATTATAGGTAGGCATAAAAACGCCAACAATATTCTTTTTATATACTTACAGAGTATTTCAGCAAAAATACCTCACAAATCACATACATTTTATTTCACTTTGTATTTTTGTATAAAATACGAAAAAATATATTTTTACTGAAAACTAATTTTGCATTGACACAAGACACAATGTACTTCTAAATTAGATACTCAAATATGTATTTGTAGCTAAAACAATTTTCTAAAGTTAGTTTAGCATCAGACGTACATGCACTGAAAATATTAATTGGTATGAACCATTCGTAATTAAGATATTTTTGGCTGAATCATCACATTTTTTAAATTAATTTTGTTCTTAAATTCGTAGTGGCAATATTGGTTGGATTTTTCCTGTTGGTCCCAGCAGCTGCATTTGCGTCAATAGAGCCAGAATGGGACTACCTTGACTCATTTTACTACTGCTTCATTTCCTTGACTACCATTGGATTAGGCGATTACATTCCAGGGGACACTGCTGATCAACCCTATAGACCTCTTTATAAGATTGCCACAACATGTAAGTATCAAACTAAATGGAAAAAAACTGAAAAATCCTTAAAGACTTTTGTTTGATTTAATACTTACCCAGTCGTACATAAAAATTATAATTCTGATCATGATTATGCAGGAACTATTATCACTTTTGCAATATAAGTATATAAATTTTTTTTTCCCAAGGAAAAAAATTAATTTTATAACACCTATTTTATATCAGCAAATTCAACTGCTTTTGCCATTATTGTCATTATTAATAATAAAATTAATTTGTGGTTTTAATCAACAAAATAATTTGACATACCTGATGTTACAACAACTGTTCAAAATTTGGTCCAGCGTGATGTAAACACATTTGACCCCGTCTTACCCAGTTTCTACGAACGAACACAATAACACAAATGTTGTCTTATTTCACCATAAATTTAAACGATCTCCATTAACTCCAAGTTGCTATACACATAAGCCATTTTTGACATTTGAAATACTGATGTAAACACTATTTAGAATCACCGGGGGCCACAAGGAGAAAGAGTGCATACGCGAATGACACTAGAGACTACAGTAGTTCAGCGATGTAAGGGTTGTAAATACAACTTCAATCATTTTTTCCTCGGACACCATAAGGATTTTATAAAAAAAATTTTTACAATATTGACTCCATTTTTCATGATACATCTATTCCCAAATTTTTTCGAATAAGTTGTGAATCACCCTATATTTCTGGATTTGTACTGACAAAACATCCATTTTGAATATACTATTTGTACAGATATGCTTGGTATGTTCTGATAATATAAACGGGTGATTATATCATTTTAAGGAAAAAAGTTTCTATAAATGCATGTTTCTAATTTTCAAAACACAGGGTGTTAAAGTGTTTAGTAAATATCAACGCATATATTTTGAATATTTCACATAGAGTATTGAGACTTGTGCTGGCGACTTAACTAATTAAAAGTAAAAATTTAATGAACTTGAATCCAGTTACAATAAAATCTTGATTATCCAAGGTAACATAGTTACATAGATGTTTTAACCTATTTTTTAAATATGAACGAGACATCTGTTACCTACTTTCTAAAACTGTTGTTAAACATATTTAACAAATATAATAAAGTAATACAGAATAGGTTAATCTGGACTACATATTTCATTTCAGAACTCGTTTTTCTGCCTGCAGAAGCAAGAAAAATCTAGTGATGGCACTTTACAAAAATTGCATGTATGATTATTGATTATTTATAATCATCAATTTTTCCCTATATTTCAATAATCCCATTAAAATCATTATTTATTTTTTTTAATATGATCAAAAGTATGTAACATTTCCTGTCGTTAGTTTAAAATTTTTCAAATAATGGACAGATATGTACAGTGTAATTTTTCTAAAATCTAGTATGTTGGACATATGAGAATTATTACATTATAAAATACAAAAACACTTTAGATAAGTGTACTAAGCATAACACAAGACAATTAAAGAAATATAATTCTGGAAATTTGAAAATGACCAAAAAATCTACAAATGTATCCGGGTACATTCTCTGACAAGTTACCGATTCTTAAATGACTGGTCATTTAGCCATTACTAATAATAACTTATAGCGAACTCGGATAATACAGAGTTCCAAAATTGGAGACTTAGATAATTAGGGTCATGGAAAAACTTGGATAATCTGGACCTCAGATCAGTAGAGGAGATATTGGAAGATATTGTGACTATACTCCGCAGTCGAAATTATAGAGAGTGACTCAGACATAATATAAAAACACTATTACCATAATGCGTATAAAATATAAAATGATTTTTATACGGTTCAATATTATTTATCTTTGTGCCGCTCGCTACGCACATCGATAGAATCTATAATCGTCTAGAGAACCGAGTTACACTGAACGTCTATCTATATTCTATCTCTGTCTTTTGCACTTGGTAGGGAATAGGGAAATGCTTTTTTAGTGGGTGTAAACAGACTTGATTTACCCATCCTGAGAAACGTCATAGCATAAGCGTAGAGGAGGGGTCTAATTCCATGGCTATAATAAATTTATAAATTAAAAAAACACAACTGGGACGTTTTAAAATGCTGTAATAATTAAAATGGATTAAAGTGCCGGTTATAGCAAACCGTAAAAAAATATTAGATGTTATGTTTTATTGTCTTTTTTTAATATTTTCTATATCTTGTTGCCTTTTATGCAGACACGCCAATGGATTTTCGTTCCCGTCACACTTCATCCCCCTTACTAGTCCAAAAGCTAGCGATGAGTCACTCTCTATAATTTCGACCGCGGAGTATAAGAACCTCACAATTTCGATACCACTGAATATTTTAGGGATTTGAAAATCCACTTGATTTCAAATTTTCATTAAAAATCATTAAAAAAAATCATAAAATTTACAACAAAAAAAACATATTTTTGCAAAACTTAATTTCAAAATTATTTTCAATTTATTTAAGTGTGAAAAATAACTTGTTTCTATGAAATGGTTTTGAAATGCAGTGATTCACAAACGGTAACCAAAAATGAAACCTCGTATACTTTGGTGAATTTTAAGGGGAGTCGTATGAAATTTTCATCTAGGACACTTCATCAAAAAAAATACAGGGTGTTAAACTTTAAATTTTTTAAATAATTTAAAAACTAGTAAGTGAAATAATTTGATATTGGGCGCACGGAATTATGTAAACATTGAGGCCTAAAATTTAAATGATCCAGTTGCGGAGATACAGGCTATCGGTGACATATTTTTTTAAATAAAATAGTACGCCACTGGTTTACGGTAACAATCATATTTTCGAATTCGTCTTCAAAACTTAAAAAAACTAACTGAAAACACTTTTACTTAAATGACATGACAAACACTAATTATTCGGTAATTTAATCGAGTAAAGAAATTAATGATATTAGTCATCATTTTAATGATTTTATTTGAGTAAATGCTCAAAAATACCCCCATTTCCACAAACACAGGTGGGACATCTTTTTAGTAACAAAAATGTAATTTGTTCGAAATTTATTGTTGCTTGAATCTGATGAAAACCATTATTTATTATTTCTTCTAACTGCTCAAGTGTATTAATTTGTTTACTGTATACCAGTCGTTTAACAGCACCGCACAAAAAGAAATCTGTTGGGTTGAAGTCCGTTATTTTTTTTGTTCTTTTTAGTTTTAATATTAGTTTAACTCAAAAATCAGTTTTTTTTCGAAAAACAATAGTAATTTGTAGAAAATTGAAAGACGTATCCGAAAATGTCATGTTTGTTATTGTAATGGCGTCCTATTTTATTTAGAAAAATATGCCACCGATACCCTGTATCTACACCACTGAAGCATCTAAATTTTAGGAATAGGCCTCAGATTTTGAACAATGTTTATATAAATACGTGTGCCCAATTTCAAATTCTTTCACTTACTAGTTTTTTAATTATTAAAAAAAATAAAAAAAAAATTTTTTAATAGATAAAAACTTTGTACGAAAGACCCCTAAAAATTCACCAAAGAATATGAGGTTACATTTTTGATTACTGTGACTCACCCTTTATAATCGGATATGAAATAAGCAGATCAAATTTCCAAAATACTCATTGGTAGTATCAAAATTCAATGAATTTTTATCTTTACTTAGTCTAACAGCCAAAGTCTCCGAGTGTAGGTGACTCTTGACTTCCATACCAGGGTGGGTGGAAAAATTTAGATACAAAGTATTGAAAAAAAAAAATCAAATATAAGTGGATGGTTTTATTTTAAGTATTATTGAAATGCATATAGGGAAAATGTACTCAACATTATTTTTTTCGGTCAGTCAATTCTTCTGCTTTTGTCCAATATAAACTTTTCAATTATTTTTTCAGTAAAGTTTGGTATTTGTCACACCATTCATCTTTTAATAGTAAGTGCTTAATTGTAAGTGCTACAAGCAATTTAAACTTTTACAATTTTTTTAAAACCTATTACAGTATAATCTCTATAATCGTTATTAATTTAATTAATTAAATTAATCCGGCGTTATTTTTTCCGCGTTTGTTTACTATTCTTGAAGAATACAGTTTATATAGTTATAGTTTAGTTGAAAGATTATTTTACAGATACATAAAAACATTACAATATACATATATATGCATATACAACTGTAATATGTATCTATCTACCAATCTCTTTGTTAATAAACAATTAAAAGTAACGTTTTTTTAATTTAATACTGTTTACATATACATTTTCCATTAATCCGAATTTTCCAGTACTCTGGCACTCTTCGGTTTTTAATGGTGCCGGATTAGTGAGATTGTACTGTATTTGTCATAATTTGCCTCTGTTTAGTCGGACTAAACAGAGCCTAAACTGCATAGTAAATATGCGCTACTCCCACTCCATTTTTCACAGCTGCGCGACCACGACCACCACTGTAAACACTTTACAGATGTAAAGGCGATATTTGAGTATTATATTTTTTGGAAATTTGAACACCTTCCGAAAACCAGGCTATTTAGGACATATATAGAAACTTTTTTCATTAAAATAATCTAAAAAGTAACTGTTTATAAATGGAACATCTTAAGGAACACTCTAAAAAAGTTATCTTAAAAATTAAGACATTTTGGATATTTCTTAATGAAAATTTGTTTCAGGCTACCTCTTTCTTGGAATAACTGTAATGATGTTGACTTTAGCAGTATTTTACGATATTCCGCAACTGAACCTTGGCTTGCTTTTCACTACAAACGAAGATACGAACTCCGAAAAAGTAAGGCTAGCAAGTGCGGGTCTCGGCTTACAATATGGGGCGGGAACATTTAGCCCTCAAAACGAGGACAACACCCATCGGCAAGTGGTGCGAGTTCGATCAAGGCGAGACGACAGCCCCAGTCCGGAAGACCCAGGCCCGAAAGATATCAGGCTTCCGTGATCTGTGCTCTTAAGTAACTATAACTATTAGTTTATAGAAAGAGATGTCTGTAGAAAATCAGGTTGGACTAATGACGGACCTGGATAAATTCCATCCAATATCGCAAAAAACACCAAACTGCTAAATCATATAGATGAATCGCATGTTTCATCTGAATATGGTTATCAATTACTCGTTTTCGAGACACAAATCCTTAAAAGACTTATATTTTAGCAAATAATTTTTTAAATATTAATAATATAATATAATTAATATTCAATGATGGAACTATCAAAGCCGGCAAAATTATCGTAGTTTGAAGATATCACTTGTATATTATATATATTATTATATATTATATTAAGTAACATAAACATGTAAATCTGCTTCTCCTTTTAAATTATTCTCAAATGGAAAACAGGATGTTGTATATTGCACCATAAAATTATTCAGTCTCTAGTCTTCAAAAATAAGAAAAAATTCTTATGAAAAGCAAACTTAACTAAACTAAACATTTAATTTTTACTGTTTTACTGTTGAGTGATATATTCTCACTCAACGGTTTTACCTCTACCTGCTCACTGCCTTTAACACGCTGGCGTGTCATCCTGAGTTATGCACGCTTGCCTTGGACGCACCAGCGTGTCCACTTCGTTTCTATTCAATGTCAAGCAATTTGTTCGACACTGCTATGAAATATGGGTGCGTGTAAAGGCATTCGGATAACAATAAACTGTAATGTTACGGGTCCGGTTTTGTTTTTTTTATCCGAATTATTAGCAAATCTATTGTCAAAATGGCAGACAGGAATGGAAGAACTGGTCCTTCTAAAAAGCTACCACACAAAAGAGTGAAGAAATATATGGAAGCTGAACAGCTACAAATTTAGAGGAGTGATACGGAATTTGATTTCGACGAGAGTGATTACAGGTGGGAATCGGAGAGTGCAGGTAGTAAAGAAAGGGAGTCGAACAATCAAAATGCTCAAGAACAACCGGTGGAAAACATCAAAGATGGAGCAGAGACAGAAGTTGCAATTCAGCAGGAGGATGTAGATTGGGGCGATAATCTAGTTGGCATAGTGAGTAAACTTTCCATTCACAAAAATGGAAAGTTTACGCACTTTACTAACGAGTAATGACCCCCTGTTGGATATTTTAATCTGTTATTGACTGACGAATGTCTCAATGAAATTATTGACAAACAAATATCAGCGCCGCGAATATATTTCTTTACGGAGATATGAAGGAGCAGACTCACATAACGGCCTGGAAAGATGTTACTTTGGAAGAATTCTTAGTTTTCCTAGTTTTCCTGGGAATTTTTTACACATGGACAATGTAAAAATGCTATGAATAAACGATAATTGGAAAAAAGACCCACTGTTTCACTTGGAAGGTATCAGCAGTAGCATGAGTCGCAATCGTTTCCTAATAATTCTAAGAGCGTTACATTTTTCGCGTAATCCTGAACCTGAAGAGGATAAACCAGAAGACAGGCTATACAAAATTCGTCCAGTTTCGAGTTTTTTCAATAAGCGAAGTATATTACATATCCCCAAAAAGAACTTTCATTGGACGAGTCCATGGTTTCGTGGCGAGGATGCCATAAGTATGGCATATAGTGTACAACTTTGAGCACGCCCAATGGAATCATCCAGAAAGTCCAGAAAGTAGCTGTATATGCTGGACAGTTAGAAGACTTAGGGGATAAGGGATATGTTGAGAAAGTTATCTTGCATTTATTAGAGGAAAAATTAAATGTCGGCCACAGTTTATACATGGGCAACTGTTACAATAGTTATGGTTTGGCAAAATCTCTCCTGGACAAAAACTCATTGTACGGGAACTCTTAGACCAAACGGGAAGGATACTCCCAATGAAGTAAAAGCAAGGAAGCTGAAGAAAGGAGAAACAGTTGCGAAGCATGCAGGAGGAGTTATAATTGGGAAGTGGAGAGACAAACAGGATATGAGTTATATTTCCACAGAATTCACAAATACTATGACAGGGATAACAAATAAAAGGAATGTAGCGAAATTGAAGCCCCTGCAAATTATTAAATACAACAAATACATGTCGCCGATCGACAGACAGAACCAGATGCTATCATATTATTTGTCGGAAAGGAAAACCATTTGTTGCTACAAGAAGCTCTTCATGTATTTCGTGGACATCATGGTGGTGAACCCGCATGGTTTCCATTCCAGGAAAAAAGTTACACTTTATGTATTTACGCTGAGTATAATCAAAGCTCTGTTGCCTGTGGTGGAAAAACAGCGGGTCCAAAAGAATGCTGAACACGCTGTTGTGAAACAGGAACTTATTCCAGGAAAGACGAAAGTAGAGAAAAAGGTGCAAATTATGTTACAGTCAGGGGCAAAGGAAAGACACCATTTATGAATGTCTGGACTACCCCGGTTTGCCTGGATATTGTTTAGATTGCTGCCTCATCCATCACAAGTAGATTAGCCCAAGATTGTGTATTTATGAGCGTTAATCAAATTGTTTTTGTCAGAAACTAAGATTATTTTTGCGTTTTACCTATTTTTTTGTTTTCTCCAGTAGCACCCAGTCACGAAATTTTGACCTCCAGTGCCATGGACGCTTCAGCGCGTCCAAAAAAAATTACCAAGAAATGGAAAAACTCATATATTACATCTGCAGACTTATTTAAAGAAGTTTTTAAGGCAAAATTTTTAGTTTTCCATAAAAAAATATAGCTGGTAGTAGAGTCAAATTTATGTGGCCTATTGGTTAGTTAAATAAGACCATTAGTACAGATCCATCTCGCAGGAAATACCTAAAGCAAATGAGAATAACTAAAAAAAAATAATAAGCTTCACCACCCTGTATCTCGAAAACTGTTTACAGACCGCCATCCATATGAACGTTTTTGGTAAGATTCATCTGTATAATTTTGTTGCTGGAATATTGCAACACCCTGTGTACAAGTCATATCAAAATATCCGTTCATATTCATGTGATATCAAAATATGAAACATATACTCCTATTACAATAGAAGCACTCATATAAAACCGCTATTTTAATATCTGAAATAATTAACAAGTTAGTCCAACCAGTACCTAGTTGGTAGGATATAAATGTTAACCACTTATAACACCAATATTACAATATATTTTGCCAATTTTGTTTAAAGATGAAATATATTCACGATATTTATTTTATCGATGTTGATTGATGCACAGTATTTTCCCTAAATATATTTTTGTATTACACCTTTTAATAATTTTAATTTTATTTTGTATTTACATTAAATACATTTTTTAATGTGGCTGTATCAGGTCTTATGAGAGTACCAGATAAGTAGTAGTCTATTTTTAGAGATACAATCAATAAATGTATACAAATTAGACTAGACTTAAGAGAGAATTCAGTTTCAATTAATTGTGGACCAAATAAAACTTATATCAGAAATCGTCTTTTACGTTACCAAACCCCCATAAAAAATTTCCCAGCCAATGCTAGGCACAGATTACGAGGTAAAGGAAAAAAAACACGATTCGTCATAATCAATTTTTTTCATCGTGTGTACAGGAACAATTCATAAAATCTAGATCTAGACTAAAAATATAACACAGTGCGCAATGACGTAAAATAGATAATTTAATAAATTACACTATCTACATTTCTTCTTTACCTTCCTCGTCCTGTTGGTTTTGTATAATAGACATCACTTTACTTCTATACGTAGGATGAATTGAACGTTGTAATTCATTCAGTGACTCCTCAGCCTGTCAGAAACAAGTAATGAGATTATTCGTAACAACATTAAAGAGGAGAAGCAATCAAATCAATACAGGGTGATTTATTAGAATGCGGCAAAAATAAGACTGATAAATGCTAAAAGAAATGCGATAAAATAAAATACACATATCCGAAAGCCTGCTATGGATATTATTTGTCGAATTCCATATGAAATAAACACCCTTAGTTAAAATGTTCCAGATTTGCCCATTATATTTGAAACTCAGTTCTAATCGATGAATAAGGTGTGTGACCCTTGTCCCTTTGCTAATGAATTATGTTTGAGGCACTGTTGATGGCTTGCACTAGATCTTGTTCACAATCAATAGAGTAGTTTCTTTTAACCCAAAGAAAAAGGAAACTGTCATTTCTAATAGCTGTTTTATATTGCGAATTTATTCATGAACTAATTCATGAAGTCGCTTCGTGAAGCAATTGGACAAGTGCAATGGTTTTGTGAATTTCTTCGTGAAATTCAGAAGTACCAACCCAACAAATCTTCAGCCTCAGACCAGTAATGAAGTTATGTTATTGACATATATGTAAATAATTGTGTGGGATCGTACTACTTTTTTTTTTGTTTGCTTACAAAAACTAATAGTTATAAACAGTGTCAAAACGTTACTGCTGTAGTACCACTACGTATATGTGGAAAGGTGACATTTTTTTTAATGAAATTTGAAATTTTTTGCTACTTTGATTTGTTGGCAGAACTGATTTATGTGTCGAAGAAATTCACGAAGTCTGTAGCGTTGTAAAACCAAACCGTTTATGAATAAATTCGTGAATTAATTCATAAAGAACTTTGTGAATTTATTCATGAATAAATTGTCAATGTGAAACAGCTATTAAAAACATTCTTTTTAAATGTTTTTGGGAAGGAATTAATGTGAATTTTTTTTCTTACTTTAATTTGATATTTCATTTTACGTGTATCACGCAACTATGAAAAAAATTAGGAAAATTATTTAAATTAATGTTTGTTGTCACACTGATGGAGTAGCATAATTATTAGCGATTTCTGCACTGATTTATTAAGAAGTGTCTTTAACATTTCAATGAAATAGGACGAAACATATAGACTGCAAAATAATTATAAAGGTACTCTTAAAATACCAGTTATTTGAATATTTTGAAAACTTAATTAATTAGCATTTTATGATCTGACGGCTAAAATAAAGTTTTTAATTTATAAACCAGTAATTACTAATCATAATTTTATGATTTATTTTTAACTTGCAAATAGGTGCAATTTTATTATTCAGATTCTAGATATTACCCTTGTTTATTACTGTAAATTTAGAGGATGAATCTGGCAACACTTATAGACCAGGGCAGATCTGTCGAAATATCCCACTTCTTGGATGTAAGAGGCGGCAAGCTAATTTTTGCTGGAATACCTTCAGTACAATTCACATAATAAAAGTGTATATCCCTAGATCTGGGCGAGGCCCGAATCATTTTCAAAATTGCAAAAATATTCAAAAAATTTTAAAAAATACCTATTTTATCTGAGTTTTTTACTTATATCTCGGAACATATGCATTTTGGAAGAATATTGAAGAGGAAAAAAGTTTTAGAATTGACTATTAACTGTAAGTTAAAAATGTTTAAATTTATTATCGGTGTTGCAAAATAGCAATAATTGATGAAAAATGCAAAATAATCAAGTTTTTTGGATAACTTTAGTATAATAGTAGTAAGTATAATAAAACAACACACCAAATTTCATTAAAATCGGTTCAATAGTTTTCGCAAAATATTTTGAAAAAAATTTTTGAATTTTCAAAATGTTGCACAGCCTCAAATAAACCATCAAGACGCTTGAAAATTTTTTCACATAGAAAAGACCGCTCAACTAAAAGGCTAAAAAATTAAACCACCATGGTTTATCCAAGTCATGAACATTTGGGATACCAAAAGACACTAACTTCACAGCTAAAATATGAAGGTGTTCTGTCTGGTATAAACTAGATCCTCAGTATTATATATAGCGGCAAATCTTCAAACATGTTTTGTAGAAATGTTAAAGATGCATTGCCTGTTAGCCCCATGCTAGTAAACAACCTGTTCTATCTAAAGATTTAACGAATACGCATGTTCTGCTTGAAGTGGTCAAAACACGTGGGTATTTTTCATGTTCCAAATATCACTAATATTAAAAATTTCTTACCCATTGAACACAGTCTTGTATGTACAAAGAATATTACAACAATGACACTGTGGTGCGGTGCCTGCAAGGGGTAATAATAGATTCTAGGTTTCGAATCTCTGAGTAATTTGTAAGAATAGCGTTCAGTTTGGTACATGCCTACTGGGAAAATTTCACTTATTAGTCACAATATTCTTGAGGAGTAACAGTGGCCATTGTTACAATTTTGCATCACAATCTTATTTACCACATTTCTACGTTACTGTCACTGAACTAAGCCAACTACAAAACAAATATCAAGAACACATCTGAAGAGTAGCTCTATGATCTTTCTGAATCAGCCAATTATTATCATAAGCGCAACATTTTAAATTAAGAGACAAAAAAAATGATATTTAATGAGCTTGAAAAGCCTTCTTCAAATAGTTTTAGATGATAAACTAACCTTGGTTTAAATCATTGCCAGAATCTAATAAATCACCTTGTATATGGGACATTTCACGTCAAACCCATCACCCTACCTACACAAAAATTGACTTGACCGATTTAGGCGAATAAGGTCTTAGAACGTTCGTCTTTTAATAGGCTTTCAAAAGAGAAGTTATGTTTTGAGAAATTCAATATGGTGGATCAAATATGGTGCCTACAAAATTCACTCTTTGCAGTAAATTTAGGAAAAAACATTGATAACATTTTCAAAAATGGGAGAATATATCCCAATGCATATATTAGACTGTTTTGGGTCCGCTGATTACTACTGAATCTATGATCAGAAATATGAAATTCAAAATGGCAGATCCAATATGGCTGACTAAAACCCATGTAACAGTACCATAATGATTTCAGGTCACTTGAAGGTTAGAATTTGGGGGCTTTTAGGATCTCTGATAACAAATTTGACATTGGAGTTTTGAACCAATATGGTGGAAGAGGAACCCCAACTATACTTCTTTGCGGCAAAAAACGATTACATTTCACATAAAGTACTGTCTGGAATTTTTAGGAAGTGAGATTACAAATTTACTATTGAAATTTTAAAATTCAAAATGGCGTACGAAGAATCCCGAATGTTCTCCTTTTCGGCAAAAAACGATTACAGATCACTTACAAGGAGGAGGTAAGGTAATCAAATTTTTGTAATATTTGATATTTATGGTACGTGTAGTTTGGACCTTGAATAAGAATTTTCCGAAGTAGTTTGACGTTCATAATCTTCGAGATGAGAAAAAGAATGAAAACATATGGTGTTTTGAAGGGGAAAAAAATGTCGTGCGACTAGGCTCGAACCAGCGATCTCATGATTGTCGGAACCGAACGCTACCCACTAGACCATGCTCCCAGTTGAAAAATGTGTCGCATGATGACGAAATGTCAATAAAAAATCTCTTGACAAAAAAATATCTATAAATTTTATATAACTGTTAACCTAATGTATTGCAAAAGACAATTTGAAATTTGGGGCAAAAAACAAAATATATTTGCATACCTGTCTTAGGAGTTGTATTGAAGTTCTCAATATCCTCTGCCATTTTTGTGCCTCTATTGAATGCAAAGCTTCTTGCTGTTGCAACAACCTGATCCATTCATCGTGAGATTTAGGGGGATTCCTGCAAATATGTAAAATGTTTAGATAAAATACTAACGTTTATTTATGTAACTCACTTTAATTCGCGCAAGTCTAAAATAGTATATGGAGATGTCTCTTCTAACGACCACAATTTGTAATACAGAATTATATTTAATATTAATAATAAAATAAGAACAAAGAATACTATTATGGTACAAACATCCGTGCTAAAAATTCCACTACCTTGAAGTTTTTTCCTATGTGGCACACCTGAAAAATGAAGCAATAAAAGCTGCTTAACAAGTACATAGTGAAAAACTGACTTATTCTAGCATCTTCTAAACTACATCTAGGAATACTATGAAGTCTTCTTTTCCGCTTCGACTTCCTCTTCAATTCTGGAATATTTTCTTCACCCTCTGCATGCAATGCTCTCGCCAAATGAGCAAAAAAGTCTTCCAGTCCCGCCCAGCAATTCCTTTCAATCATACCTAAAAGGAATATTTGAGAAATCGGTTGCCTTAAAAGAACACATACATTTTTACCTTTCACTAATCCCCAAACCGACTTTTTGTATTTAATTTGAGCGAAAACGGTAATCATGCTATGAGTTTCCGATACTTTTTGGAGACAATAATGGGCCAATACACAAAAACTATCACCATAAGGTATTCCTCCGTTAATTGTATCTACATCTATGGAATAAAGGTTACCTGCTTTACTACACGGAAGCATAGTCTAAAAAAGTAGATAAGATTGAACCTTTGGAAACTTTGAGGATCAAAATTTTGATAGAAAAATATGAATTTGTTTTTGTCTACAGTAGTGTCTAAACATTTAAAATTAAAATTGGTAGAAATGTTTCCTTACTAGCTCTCTCTCACCCTCCCTCTCCCTCTCTTTATTTCCCTCTCCCTCTCTTTATCCCCCTCTCCTTCTCCCTCTCTTTATCTCCCTCTCCCTGTCTTTATCTCCCTCTTCTTCTCTACCTCCCTCCCAGCTCCTCTCCCTACCCCTCTCATTCTCTCCTCCCTCTCTCTCAACCTCTCTCTACCCCTCTCTCTCAACCCCTCTCTGCCACCCATCTACACTCTCCTCCCTTCTTATATCATTTCTATCTCTCACCTAAACACCTGGTACCTATAGTTTTAACTTTATTTTAACATAAACATTTTTTAATAACTTACATGTGTCTCAGTGACTTGAGCACTTTTGGGACCCATAGTCTGGCTAAGAGCTACCGTTGAATTGACGACTCTACATTTACTATTATCTAAAGGGTTATGGGTCCACGGCGTCTGGGTTAGGTCTGTTGTCTTTCTAGCTGCGTGGAAATCTAAATAAAATTTGGAACTGGTGAATAGAAGCGTAAATAATTGATCTATATGTATTGGTACGACTTCGTTCATTAATTGTCTACCTTCGTGAGAAGAAGTACATCGTACACTAACATCAGACCTGCAAGAGAATGTTGAGATAAGACATCGAAGGGTATTTTGATCGAGTATTAGCATCTATACACAGTTTTCAAAACTAAATGCAGCTTTCAACTTTATACCGGGTGCCAATTTTTTCAAACTGCATCATGGGAATCTTGGTTATCCTAAGAATCGGTCTTAAGTCAGTTAAATTACGATAAAGATGCATTATATGATGAATAGTCTGCTGAAGAGGAATTTGACCTATTCCATTTCGTTTTGAAGTTATTGACGAAATACTGAACAACTTTCATTTTTGCTTTTTACAAGTTTTTTATTTTTTTTAATTGCAAGAATGGCAGTTGATTGTGGTACTTTGTCAGTATTCTTTAATGTATTCATGTTAAATCACACCTATCAGAATGAAGAAATAACATTCAACTTTTGTTTTTCTTTCACATTTTTAAACTTGCCTCGTTTTCTGATTACAACAATGTGGCATATAAATGGTTAATTTTTCTGTTTTTGTAAAATGACGCAACTTTATGAAGAATAGACATACTATGACTCCAAATGAAATTTTAACAGATCAATTACATTTACAGTGACGTCAAAGTTTAAAAAACTAAAAATGTAATTTTCTCAAGAAAAGTGTGATATGTTTCAAGTGTATGAACTAATTCGAAGAATATCTGGCTCTGCGTCATGTGAAAATTGCATTTTTAGTTCTCTAAACTTTGATGTTGCCACTGAAAATTTGACTGAACTGTTAAAATGTTTGGAATAATGGTTGTAAAATTAGATAATTTGCAATTTTAACAAAAAATGTCATAACTGAAGTCAAAGCTGAGAAAATATGACGCCAATAAGACAAACAATTCTTGAATGTTGTGTCTGCATCCTAATAATGTATAAATCTGAAAGGTCCACCAACCCTTTTTGATTTAAGAAATATTCAAATTCAAAAAATAAAATTGAAAGTTAACAATTTTCAATTTTTCATCTATAACTTGAAAACAAAAGAAAATACGTTACATTTCTATTCGTCTTCAAATTCCCTAAATTAAACCGACTTTGTTACTCTCAAGATGACATCCCATAATGCGACTGGAACACAGGCACTTGATATAAATTTATTGGTTAAATTATACGTATGTTGCTGGTAAGTGTTTAATTTTGACAATTTCTTAAAATTTTGAAAAAAATTAAGAAATAAAACTTCTAAGAAATAATATAAGTACACATAATATTTAATTAGAAAACGAAAATATGTTTACTTTCTGTATAAATAATATATATGGGATGGGCCAATTTTAAAACTCTTTGGGGAATTTATCGTATTTTTCAAAGTAATAGACAAAAACCACATTTCAATTTTTCCTTCCTTTAAAATATTTCTTATTTTTGGTATTTTTTGTGATGTTGAATAACTTTTTTATATGTGAAATATAAATACAAAAGTAGCCTAATTCCTGAAGTTAAAACAGAAAACAAAATTTTATATATAAAAAAAAATATAACAGAAAACTCAAAATAAATAACTCGATAACACCATAACAATTATGAATCAGTACACAGCAAACAGAATGCAGATAACCAGTTTACAAGACACTCTCTAATTTCAAAATGTTCAAGTATATGAAACAGACCTATAAAAAAAAATTGTACGAATATCATGCACTACACATCATTTAAAAGAAAATTTTATGTATATAGGTATTAAAAACTCAAATATATTTAGGATTACCAAATAAAAATTTGGGTTGCAATTCAAAATTTGAAACATAAAAAAAGTGGCTGCTACTGGATCTAATGTGAAATAAAACTGCACAAAAATTCACTTCAATAATACCGAGAATTAATTTTCGAGGGATTTACAATAGATGGCATAACTTATGTTATATCGCATCAGACGCTTCTGTAAAAGATGTTAAAGCTCTGCCATTATACTTTACTTTTTATTATGTGCCATTTTGTGAACTGTAAACAACTCAGCTCTGAAGGGACAAAACACCATTTACGGGAAGTTTTACTTTTCTATTTAATTAAAAAAAAGTGCTGCTAAAAGTCATCGAGTGATGTTGGAAACTTACGATGAACATACTCCATCAATAAACACACGTGAGTATTGGTTTAAATGTTTTAGAAGTGGTGATTTCGATACAGTTGACAAAGAACGCCCCGTCAACTGAAAAATTTTGAAAATGAGGAATTAGAAGCATTACGTGATCAAGACTAATGTCAAATGCATGATGAACTTGCTGAATTGTTTAATGTTGATCGCACAATAGTTTCCTAACATTTAAATGCACTCGGTATTATTCAAAAGCAAGGAAATTGGGTGTCGTATGAATTGAAGCCAAGATATGTTGAACGGCGGTTAGTCACATGGGAACAAACAAGGGTTTTTTGTATTGTATCGTCACGAGCGATGAAAAATGGATATGCTATGATAATCCTAAGCATAGAAAATCATGAAGTTTACCTGGTCATGCATCAACATCGACGGCAAAGCCGAATATTCATGGTTCGAAGCTCATGCTCTCGACTTAGTGGGAGCAGTTTGGTGTTGTGTACTGTAAGCTGCTTCAATCGAATGAGACCATCATTGATGAACAAAACTGAACACAATTGATGTATTTGAGCCGTGCATTGAAGGAAAAACGGCTGCAATTCAAGCAATAAAATAATTTTTCAACAAGACAAAACTCGACCACATATTGCTCATGAAGTCAAAGAAATGCTGAAATAGAATATTTCACCCCGCCTGCCATATTCACCAGATATTGATCCATCGGATTATTACTTATTCAGATGGAACACGGTCTGGCTAAGCAGCCCTTCCAGTCTTACGAAGATACAAAAAGTTGGATCGATTGATGGATAGCATCAAAAGATTAGTTGTTATTTTGACGTGGAACCCGTATGGTGCCAGAGATTGAAAGAAGTAGTAGCGATGGACAATACTTTGAAAAATAATAACGTACACAATTTTTAACAATAAAGCCTTGAATTTACAAAAAAAATCCCTCAAAATTAATTCACTGTCATACTAAACATGCATAAAAATCTACTTCAAAAATAATTTTTAAAAATTTGTGTGAATGAAATGAGTATGAATAACATGTACATAATTCCCTCAGTTTTATAGAACTTCCATTCTTCTGGAAACTACCTCCCTAAATTACAAATACTGCAATATAGCGGACTGCACCTCATGACTCTTCATTCCTCCTCGTTTCGAACACGCATCTGTGATGAATGCTTTCCTTAATGAGTTATATACCACAAAAATAGACCAAGAATAAAAAACACCCTGTACCTCTTAAACAAATCCAGATATTGAGATGCACTTTTCTATATCTTGAACATCGAATTCGGGACAAGAAATTTCCCCCAAGTCTAAAAATTGGTCCTCCCTGTATTTCCAATATTAATTGAAAATATTATCTACATCAAGGAAAAATCAAAATAAAAGTATGTATTTCTGAAGTATCTGGCTAATTTCACTTCAATAGTGATCTTTAAAGGCCTAATGTATGAGATCTTTGCTGGTATATTATGCAATTGAAATGATAAAGTTATCTTGCATTATCTAGTTAAGTTTCAATGTACAGGGTGTTAGTAAATAAGTGCGACAAATTTCAGGGGGTGATTCTACATGAGAAAATAATGGCAGTTTGCTTATAAACATATGTCCGCAAATGATTCGTTTTCCGAGATACGGGGTGTCAAAGTTTTTCTTAAAAACTGACGATTTAATTTATTGCTCTGAAACCGGTCGAGATGTGCAAATGAAATTTGGTGGGTTTTAAGAGGTAGTTATTGCGCATTTTTTGACACGCAATTAAGAATTTTATGTTCATCATTGGCGCGCGTACGGGTAATAATCTCAATTTTTTTAAAGAAAAAAATGGTACGCCACTGAGATATTACAAATTAAAAATCATTTTTGAATTCCTCGTTCAATTTGTGACAAAAAATCTCTCTTGCCTTTTCTTCGTATGGGGCGCCGTTTTGATGCAAAAAAATAAAACATCTTAACGCGTATTTTTTATTTCTTTAATACATTACCTAGTAGGCTACTGTCAACATTTGTCTGTTAAATACGAATATTTTTAAGAAATGTCAAATTAGCGTTTCGTCATTATTAATTTATTAAGCTTTTAGTTTGCTATAACATTAGTGTTAATAATTAATTTTTCTTTTAACGAAAAAAATGGAAAATTTTGCAAATACGGAATTGTCAGACATGCATTTTGTCTACAGGTTCGGAAAGTACCGATGGTCCATCTGCCGCTACGTGAGAGCGATAAAATAAGACATAGAAATCCATGCGATAGAGAAGGATGGCTATAATGAAGGCGTCTCATAGTCACCGCCCGTTTCGCCCTTCCACAAATAAGATCCACTTCTTATTTGTGGAAGGGCAAAATGGGCGGTGACTATTAGACGCCTTCATTATAGCCATCTTTCTCTATCGCACGGATTTCTATGACTTATTTTATTGCTCTCACGTAACGGCAGATGGACCATCGGTACTTTCCGACCCTGTATGGTCGAAGTAATGGAAATGGTCGGCAAGCTCGACGATTGTCTGCTGAGTTGTATCCAGGAGTAGGGTACCTCATCACACAATATTTGCTCCTCTTCACCAACGTTTGCGCGAAAATGGTTCATTTAAGAAACAAACGGTTGAGTGTGGGCACCCTCGAGAAGTACGAACTGTGCAACTAGAAGAAGCAGTTCTCGAGTTAATTGCGGAGTCACCTGAAACAAGTACTCGAAAATTTGACAACATATTGAATGTAAGCAACTTCACTGTATTTAAAATTCTTAATTTTTTAAATGCCGTTTTGTTTACTGACGAGGCTACTTTTGGACGACAGTGTATATGAAATTTCTATAACAATCACTTATGGGCTGAGGAAAACCCCCATGGAATCTTTGAAGCTCATTTTCAGCATCAGTTTTCCGTAAATGTATGGCTTGGGGTAATTGATGATCATTTAATCGGTCCATATTTCTTCCCACAACGACTAACAGGCGAATCTTATCTTAATTTCTTACAGGAAGAGTTAACTGTTCTTCTTAAAGAAATTCCTCTACAGCTGAGACAACACCTATGGTACATGCATCATCATGCATGTGCACCATATGCACCATCGTGCACCAGCCCATTTTAGCATTAATGTACGTAATCACTTAGACACAGTATATCCAAATCGTTGGATAGGTAGGGGAGGTACGGAACATTGGCCTGCTCGATCGCCGGATTTAAATCCTCTTGATTTTTGCATTTGGGGTTTTCTTAAGTCATTAGTTTATTCCACTCCCGTTGAAAATGTTGATGAATCGAATTATAGTCAGCTGTGAGACACTAAGAAATATACCAGGAATATTTGCGCGAATACGACAATCAATGAGGCGAAGAGTTGAATCTTGTGTCACGTCTGAGGGAGGTCATTTTGAACATTTGTTGTAGCTTTGCGCCTTTTCAAAATTTTATTAGTGTTATTTTCTGTTATTGTTCTGGTTTAAGGTTATTGTATTAGATAGTTCTTGATAATGTATTAAAGAAATAAAAAATATGTGTTAAGATGTTTTATTTTTTTTTTGTCTCAAAACGGCGCCCCATACAAAGAAAAGGCAAGAGAGATTTTGCCACAAATTGAACGAGGAATTCAAAAATGATTTTTAATTTGTAATATCTCAGTGGCGTACCATTTTTTTCTTTAAAAATATTGAGATTATTACCCGTACGCGCGCCAATGATGAACATAAAATTCTTAATTGCCTGTCAAAAAATGCGCAATAACTACCTCTTAAAACCCACCAAATTTCATTTGCACATCTCGACCGGTTTCAGAGCAATAAATTAAATAGTAAGTTTTTAAGAAAAACTTTGACACCCCGTATGTCGGAAAACGAATCATTTGCGGACATACGTTTATAAGCAAACTGCCATTATTTTCTCATGTAGAATCACCCCCTGAAATTTGTCGCACTTATTTACTAACACCCTGTATATTGTTAATTCAAAATGTTACTGTATTAGTAGTATCAAATAAGTATAGTCACCATGCTCTCCTAATAGTAGGTTAAATGTTAGTGAATATTATTAATTAAAATCACAAGAAATCAAAGTTTCCTAAAAATTAGGAATAAACTTACTCTGGACTTTCCAAAACCGGAGCACAGTCATCAGAATCAGGGGTTGGTGGGGTGTGAAGGGAGAAGGAATTCTCTCTTGGGAAGGGAAAGGAATTGTTTCTTCTGAAAAGTCAACACTGACAACGTTAATTACAAATAAGGCAGTCAGTATTGAGCATTGATTGAAAAGTTTAACAAAAAAAACTGGTAATCTATGAATAGAAAAGCTATTAAAAATTGAAAAAAAAATCACTTCATGTTGCACCTTATTAAATTTTTCAATCAACTATTAACATAACAGCATTGGTTCGAAGAATAACAATCCCAGTTAGAAATGTTACAAGTCTTTAGTCACATTTGACTTTTTTACAGAAATAAACATGTTGAGTTCAATAATAAAATAAAAAAATAAATGTTATAACAAGAGAACATAAGACCCCAATAGCATAGGAACCTCACAACATTGTTTAACTTTGTTATAGATAAGCAATTACATAAGCTTAACTTTCTCGCATATATGTTTACGGCGTGAGCTTAATGACATAAATTCAGTCATTTTAATTACTATAGATCAGTGGTTATCAAAGTGTGGGCCGCGACCCCCAGAGGATGTCATGGGAAGAGGTCGCCAAAGATTTTACAAAAATATATTACTATAAATTTATTTTTTATGTTAAAAAATCATCTGTAATCGCTATTAACCCTCATTGCAGTGAGGTCCAAATGTTTACGTTAATTTAAATTTTTATTTACTAACATTATTAAAAAAAAAACATGCATAACAGTCAGCGACACAAAACCTCCACCACATTAATTAAACGATGACTTATTGAAGTGCATTTCAGTTAGTAGCACCAAATTAGTTGTTGGTATCACATTATTCAAAAAATAAAAATGTTTTATTACAAAATCAAATTTATATCTTAATGCACATAGAAAAATTCAGGAAAATCTGTTTTTTTATATTTTAGCACAACACAAGTTTTTTCAGGTGAAATATAAATAGTGTATCCTCGATATACCTTGGATTCGCTTACGTGTCAGCTCTAAACGACAGTGTCGCCGCTTCTGCTTATAAGATTATTACATTTTGTTTCACAAAAAAGAGATATGTTAAATCAAATCTTAGAAATCAAGAAAAAGAAAATTACCAATTATTTTCAAAGGCAATGTTAAAATTAATTTAGATACTTTTCTTCAGGGTACTTTTCGTTAGTTGTCACTGATTCTGTTTTATTTCGCTTCTACTCTTCAGAGGATTACTTTTTGTCTACTTTGTCTGTTTTGTTTATTTGTATAATGTTTTATGTATAAAAATATGTACATACGATTGATAAAAAAAAATAATGAGATTTTCAAATTATGCTTATTGCACCTGGTTTGTGGAGTTGATTATTTTTTTGTGCATTGGTAACACTATCACCTGTCAATCTTTAGGCAGCTGCAACGCTTAATTTGTGTTTAGCGAGCGAATGAGTAAGGCTTACTTCAGTATTTTTGGCGATTTTTTTGTGGCAAAATGTTGGATCAGAAGTTTGCCTGAAATTTTGTGTTAAAAACGGAATTAAATGTAGCGAAGCATTCAAAATGTTAAAAAATGCCTCTGGCGACGATACTATGTTAAAGCTTTAGAGTTTATCAATGGTACAAAAGTTTTCAGGAAGGCCAAGAAGACATTGAAGATGACGTGGGATCTGGGCACCCCAGCACATCCACTAATGATGAAAATGTGAAAAAAATTAAAAATATTGTTTCTGCTAATAGAAAAATCATCATCAGAGAAGTTGCTGAAGAAAAAGGAAACATGTGAAGCGATTTTTATGAATGTTTTAAACATGAAAAAAGTGGCAGCAAAATTTGTTCCGAAACTGTTGAATTTTCAACAAAAACAGCATCACATAACCATTGGTGAAGAAATGCTTACTGACCCAGACTTGCCCAAACGTGTTGTAACTAATGACGAGGAGGCGCAACTGTCTCAATAGAAATTTTCTGGAGGATCACAACCAAGTCCATTAAATGTTCTTGGTCTTTCTAACCGTTTTCTTCAACTACAATGGAATAATAGTTCATCACAAATTTTTACCACCTGGTGGTACAGTTAACAAGGACAAGGCCTACAAATTTTGCGCAATTTATGTGAGGTAATCAGGAGTAAACAACCTGAACTCTGGAGAGAAAACTCGTTGACTTTGCACCACGACAACGCACCAGCGCATACCTCTTTGCTTAACCAACGTTATAATAGATGAGATAAAATTAAACTGAATTCAAGACGATACCTAAAGGGGCATTCCACCAGTGTATCTAAAACTGGAAACTATATTGGCATAAGTGTATAATATCACAAGGGACTATTTTGAACGGGATGGGATAAAAATTGAAGATTAAATAAGTACCTTCTGAGAAAATTATCAATTTTCGTTATTTTTTATCAAACCTCGTATAGGTATTTAAATGTAACCAATCGGCAAATACAAAATTTAGATATGTATATGGGACGTTCTGTATCAAACGGAACAAAGTTGTGTCCAAAATTCATGTTGGCAGATTGTGAATGAATAAGGGCTTAAAAGATTCGTTAGGAATGCCCCTTTCGAAAGGCGTGAGGCTCTTTCGAAAAATTCAAAATGACGACCTAATATGGCGGCTAGAAGTCAGCAGAAAAATCATATATTAGAAAAGAACATTTGTAAAAATCTTATATCAAGATCAATTTAAGCTATATATAGCTAGATATAGCATTAAAATATGTTATTAAAAAAAATAAAAATAAAAAAAATTAAAATTAAAAAAATTAAAAAATATATAGGTATCGGGTTTTGAAATGAAGACAGTCTCAACCCTCAACGCAGAATCGATATGATCGCAAGCATTGAAAAATTATTTATATGAATTCTCTGTAAATTTTTGCAGATAATTCGACTCTATAATATCAAACAGAAATCACGAAAGCCCTTTAGCCTTGTAAATTTAGTCGTTCAATCACAAGTACTTCCTGCAAACTTTAGCAATTCATGCCTGTTATGAGCGCCATATTGGATCCACCATTTTGAGGTTCGACAATCTGACTCTGGAAATTAAAACTATGGGTTTAAAAGATCCCCCAGTAAGCCTTGTTAAGTTAAAATGATTGATTCTGGGATCGTTAGTATCGATTTCTCAATAATATCTGCGATTTTTTACCCCTATGGGCGCCATGTTGGATCCACCATTTTGAGAATGGATAAATTGACTTTAGAATTAATATTATTCATAATCCACAAAGACCCCAAACAAGGCTTTATCGGGTAAATTTAATTGCTGAGCGATCTTTTATGTATTTTAGTGGCTTTGAGGCGTTATAGGTGCCATATTAAATCCGCCAATTCGAAATACGTAAAAAAACTATAGTTCTTTAAAAGCGCGTCAAATACATATATTTTAATGCTATATCCGATTAAACTGATTTTGATATAAGATTTTTACGCCATTTTGAATTTTTCGAAAGAGCCACACACCTTTTGAAAGGGGCATTCCTAAGGAATCTTTTAAGCCCTTATTGGTTCACATCTGTCAACATGAATTTTGGGTACAGCTTTGTTCGGTTTGACGCGGAACGTCCCATATACATAATACATGTATACTTTAATACCAAAAATACATGTCTATGTACATACATACAGGGTGATTCATTAACAATGGGAAAATCGAAAACTGAAGATACTACACTTGAAATGGTGACCATTGGCGCAAACATGCCTTATCCGAAAGTTGATAGTTTCGGAAATGCAGGGTGTTGAAAGTTAAAATTTTAAATCGTTTTTTTGCGATTATTCTGAAAATATGTAGGTTAGGAACTTGAAAATTTGTGAAACTATATTTTTTTAGGCGACGAATAAGATGCGTGTTGTAATTTCAGCATTGCTCATAGAGGGCGCCACTTACGACCAATTTTACCGAAAATTTAGTTAATAACTTTTTACCCTGTATATTTAACATGAAACTTGATTCAAAACCTGAAAGAGCTATCATTTTTCCATTAATTATGTACTCTTGTTTCATTTCGGTATCTCGATCCGTTTTCGAGAAAAATCGATTTAACGAACACTATGTTTTGATAATATGAGAAATTAAAAGCGAAACAAACCAAGTGTTTCTTCGTGTTATTACAACAATTAACAATAAAACAAATAAAATACGTAATTATGATTTAAAGTAATTGTTCGAAGAATCCACCGTTGACACTGATACACTTTACACGTTTTCTGAGAGATCTTCGAGTTTGAAACAACATATTGGGATTGCGTCTGACTTCGTTGGCAGCGATTTGTATTCTTTGCCACAACTCTTCACACGAGCCAATAGATTCTTTGTAAACTATATCTTTCATTCGAGACCAAATAGAAAAATCAAGAGGATTGAAGTCCGGACTTCTGGATGGCCAAGCAAAAATGCTTACATGGCCAATCCAGCGATTTGGAAAAACTGCATCTAAATATGCACGCACTGGCCAAGAAAAATGCGGTGGAGCTCCGTCGTGCATGAACCACATGTCTCTTCTTAAATAAAGTGGAACTTCTTCAAGCCGTGGAAGCATTTTTACTTGGCCACCCAGAAGTCCGGACTTCAATCCTCTTCATTTTTCTATTTGGAAGAATCTATTGGTTCGTGTGAAGAGTTGTGGCAAAGAATACAAATCGCTGCCAACGAAGTCAAACGCAATCCCAATATGTTGTTTCAAACTCGAAGATCTCTCAGAAAACGTTGTGTAAAGTGTGTAAATGTCAACGGTGGATTCTTCGAACACTGACTTTAAATCATTATTACGAATTTCATTTGTTTTATTGTTAATTGTTGTAATAACACGAAGAAACACTTGGTTTGTTTCGCTTTTAATTTCTCGTATTATCAAAACATAGTGTTCGTTAAATCGATTTTTCTCGAAAACGGATCGAGATACCGAAATGAAACAAGAATACACAATTAATGGAAAAATGATTGCTCTTTCAGGTTTTGAATCAAGTTTCATGTTAGACATACAGGGTAAAAAGTTATTAACTAAATTTTCGGTAAAATTGGTCGTAAGTGGCGCCCTCTATGAGCAATGCTGAAATTACAACACGCATCTTATTCGTCGCCTAAAAAAATATAGTTTTACAAATTTTCAAGTTCCTAACCTACATATTTTCAGAATAATCACAAAAAAACGATTTAAAATTTTAACTTTCAACACCCTGTATTTCCGAAACTATCAACTTTCGGATAAGGCATGTTTGCGCCAATAGTCACCATTTCACTTGTAGTATCTTCAGCTTTCGACTTTCCCATTGTTAATTAATCACCCTGTATAATGTAAGTTTAAAAAGATATTTGGTTATAACACGATTCGTCTATAACACGTCTTCGCGTCACGACCCTATACCTGCAGTATAACGAGGACATACTGTAATTATTTTGAAATTTAAATACCCTAAATAATACAAATCAAAGGTAAAATAATAAAACATGCAAATTATCTTATATTTAATGTTGTTCCATTTATTAGTTATATAATTTGATTTTTTTAAATCTAAACTTATGTTTACCCATTTTACTGTTTTCATGATTACCCTTCCAACCAATGCTTCCAAATTATTTTAAAAATCACTTACTTTATTGGCTTTTCAGCATCAGATTCAGAATTATCTGTAACATCTGTTGGAATGTGTGAGTCGGACCCATTTCGTTTGTGTCCCAGAACAATGCCATCTTTGGCATCGTCCTCTATTATTTTATCTTCCATAATGAACTGGTTTATTAAACCTTCTACAGCACTATTGCACTCCTGCTGGAACACCAAAAAACTAAATAATTATATAGAGGATCTAAAGTAAAAATAAATTCAATTGCAACTTCTTTAATACGCACAATTAAGAGTAAGAGATTTTTCTTATCAACAATTGTGTTAGTTAGGATAATATTAAAAAACTTAATTGAAACCTAATAAAATGTTTATTATACTACACAAACGAAACAAAATTGTGTTTAGAAAAATGTACTATAAGTATAACTATGTAACCTCTAAAAATGAAATAACTATATTTGTAGAACATTTATAAGATTTATGTACCAAGTATTTTGTTACAAAGTTAATAGAAAAAGTTTCATATTTTACATTTTAGTTTCAAAGTTTATGTCTTATGCTTTCTTTTCGGCATTTTCATACAAAGTATGGCTAACAAGCACTTCCGGAATATTGAATTTCGTTCGGATTACAACATATTCTATGTCTGAATTACTGAATATATACAGGGTGTTTCATTTCCGGTGTGCCAAACGAACACAGATAAAGTAATTTTGAGCACAAAAGTTCATATCGACATGTGTCCGAAAACGCCCCCTTGGCGCTACGCCCCTTTAAAGGGGGCCATTAAGACACAATTTTATTACAATGTCCCGATTATGCTTCGAAATAAATAAATAAAATTGTATACAGAGTTACCATTTATTACCAAGATACTAAGGTTCAAATTCCATAATTTTTTTTGTTTGTCAAATTCGTAATTCTTTTTCCGAAAATCGAAATCATTGACCATTTCGAGATAAAAAAGATATACTTGTTTCATTACAATATCTGCAACGGTTTTCCAGAAAAAGCCGATTTTAACTTCTATTGCTTCTTCTAAAAAAATTAAAAATGATAAAGAACCTAGAATTCTATTTTCCCTACATGAAATGAAATATATCTTTTTTATGTAGAAATGGTCAAGGATTTCGATTTTCGAAAAATGAATTACGAATTTGACAAATAAAAAACTTACTGATTTTGAACCTTGACTTGCCCCCCGTAGGGACGCCCCTGAAAATAAATGTGCCAATTTGGTTTAGATAAAGTAATTCCTCGTAATAAAAGGTACCTCTGTATAAAATTTTATCAATTTATTTTGAAGCATTTTCGAAATATTGTAAGATCTAAAAAAAGGAGTAAAAGTGGCCAAAAACAGACAAACAAACAATCTGCCGGGGTTTTTATGATCGGAAATTTATTCCAGAGGTCAAAAATAACTCGTATCCACAGCAGTTTTCAATTTTGACGAAGACCACTTTTTATAGTGTCTTTATTTGATTTAGAAAAATTTTATTCAAACTATACGTTATTGTTGTGATACAAAAGACTACCGATGTTGTTATTACAAAAAAATTCTTATTTAAATAACTCCTCTCTGCCTCCCCATTAGTGAATAAAAGGAGGAGAGTGGTATGAGATTTTAATTGAATTTCCTATTAATAGAAGACGTAATTGAGGTGGGTTTAGCACATCTCATGTGATGCCAAATTCATTTCAATTTTATATATTTTTTTAATTTCCAGTTAAATAATGATTTTATACAAAAATAAAATATATAAGGCCAGTTTTTTTATCATATTTTGTTTTCTGTTAATATCTGGAAAGGTGACAAACACCCCATTAATCAGATTTTTATCAAAAATTCATTGATGACATGAGAAAAAAAATTCGAAATAAGAATTAGTTTTAAGATAAATTTAAAGCTGAAATTGTAACTATGAGCATTGTCTTAGAAGTGACGGTATTTTTTTTTATTTCTGTAAATGCATTTATACCAATGGGTTACTATATCAAAAAGTGACATCTATAGGGCGTTCCACCTAAGAGGGATTCTTCTGTAACTCTGTAACTGTAAAATTTATTTTAAAAAATGGTTTTAATAAAAGATGTCTGGAATCATGTGGGCCATGTAAAGAAAATATTTTTAGCTTTGTAAGGTGTTCCATTTCGCGTGGGCACTACATAACTTTGTTATTTTAAATGGAACATCCTGTATATTATTGCGTTTCTGAATTCCTTGGTTAATATTAGTTAGGGTTTATTCATGGTGCATGGTGTTTAAAACTTACCATTTTCGAGATAATCAGTTGTTTTTGAAAAAAAAATCGATTTCAGCTCCCTAAATGCGGCTAGATAGCGTCTAAACCGTAAGAGTTAGAAACCTGCAGTTTTCACAGTTCATTTTGTCATAAATTACTCTATCTTGTCATCTGTGAGCAAAACATGTACGTTATTCAGACTCGGAAATACTGAGACCTACATTTAATAATCTTACGAGTTGAAAAAGTTTTTTTTTCAAATGGAATGACCTATATTTATTGTTACGGGTGAATGCAAATTTGAATGATCTTTTGACTGATCGAAGGTTGTCCATGCTTATCTTTGACAGTTTTCCAGAAAAATCAAGTTCTTTTCTAAAGTCCTAAAAAATAGCTATGTAACAGCGTCAAGAAGGCCTTGCAATTGTATTAGTATTAGTACAACAAAAGCACAGCACAGCACATCCTTATCGCATCCAATTACACCAAGGGTTACTAAAAGTAGACTTTCAGCAGATACTGGAGTTTTGTTAGTGGGCACATGAGATGTTAAATCAAGATGATGTTTTCTTTAAACGGGTCATGTTCTCCGATGAGGCTACTTTTCATAAAAAAGGTTTCGTTAATAGCCATAATTGCCGTTATTATGACACAGTAAATCCTCACCAATTCCGGACAACTCATAGCCAACAATGCTCTTTGAACGTGTGGGGAGCAATTTTGGGAACCCATGTCAATGGACCATTCTTTTTTGATCAGCATCTAACTAGAGCAGTTTATTTAAACTTTTTAACAAACACTCTAGAAAATTTGTTAGGCAACATTCTTTTAGCTACACTTCGAAGAATGTGGATGCAACATGATGGTGCTCCACCTCACAATACCACTACGGTTTGTCAGTTTTCATACGAAACTTTTCCCAACAGATGGATTGGGCAAGGGGGAACAGTGAGTTGACCTTCAAGGTCAAGATATGACAAGTTGCAACTTCTTTTTATGGGGATTTATAAAAAGCAAAGTTTATGTTACACCACCTACCACCAACTACCACGGACATGTAAAAACTGAATTCGTTTGTGTATTAATCAAAATGGAAGACATTCGAGCAATTGATGTAAATTAGCGGTCTAAGTATTTTTCTCCTTGTTGTGTTCTGAGTTTCAGAATGTTTCGTTTTGCGTTTTATCTTGGTTCTTTAGTGGTTAATTTTTGTTTGTCAAACCACTTTTTAAACAAGCCAGTAAATATTGACATGGTCAGTCCTAGGCCTGATAAAGTGCGAGAGAAAAGTGGTTTTGCAAGGCTTTCTTGACGCTGTTACATAGCTACATTTTCGGACTTTAGAAAAGGACCTGATTTTTCTGAAAAACTGTTAAAGATAAGCATGGACAACCTTAGATCAGTCGAATGAGCATTCAAATTTGCATTCACCCGTAACAATAAATATAGGTCATCCCATTTGAAAAAAAAAGTTTTTCAACTCGTAAGATTATTAAATGTTGGTCTCAGTATTTCCGAGTCTGAATAACGTACAAGTTTTGCTCACAGATGACAAGATAGAGTAATTTATGTCAAAGCGAACTGTGAAAACTGCAGGTTTCTAACTCTTACGGTTTAGACGTTATCTACCCTCATTTAGAGAGCTGAAATGGTGATTGTTGCCAAAAATAACTGATTATCTCGAAAACGATAAGTTTTAAACATCAAGTACACTTAATAAACTCGACCTAATATTAACCAAGGAATTGAAAAATGCAATAATATACAAGGTGTTCCATTTAAAATAACAAAGTTATGTAGCACCCACGCAAAATGGAACACCCTGTAAAGCTAAAAATATTTTCTTTACATGACCCACACGTCGATTCCAGGCAACTTTTATTAAAACTATTTTTTATAAATTTTACAGTTGCACAGTTACAGAAGAATCCCTCTTAGGTGGAACACCCTGTATATATGTTAAAGTACATACTGGCATATTAAATTTCATTTAAACTGCGCAAATCATTACTTGGATAAAACCAAAATGTTTTGCCACCTTCAATGCCACCTAGAGGCTAAATATCTACTGTGTGTATTTTTATTTATGAACACCATGATATATTAAATTGTAAATAATTTATCTTTAGCAATAGTATGTAAAATATTAACAGTATATACAATATACCTGTAACTTTACTACTTTCAGATGTTAGCAAAAATATTTTTTTAGCAAGTCATTTATCAATTGCTTGATAATAAATAATAAAATTTCTCCACTTCTGTACTTTCATTAATACTAAAATAAATTTTAAATAGATTAAATTTTATTAGTAATTTTTAGTTTTCTTCTCTTAAATTTTTTGAAAAATTGCAAAAATTTGCAAGTCCAAATAAATTATTTGACGAATGTCCAATATTGAAAATATGTGTGAAAAATTATCAGCATAGGTTGATAGATATAAATTCTTAATGGTTATTGAAAATCATCTAAACAATTATGAAATATTAATAAAAAAGATTATATTAAAAAAAAACAGATCTTTAAATAAATGACAAATACTGCTATATAACAAAATACTTTACTATTATTATTGTATTCAGTATTACTGCAGAATGCACTCAAAATTTCACTGTTACACAATCAATCATTTTGATATCAGATACAACTATAATTCACCTCCGTATAATTTTTATAATAAACACAATAAGAAGTAGACATTTCTATACGATTGTATTCACTTCAATTTACAGCAAATTGAAATACATTTTAACAGAACTGATACTATCTCACTTCATATATGATAACATATTAACTGTATCTTATCAATGTTTCATTACACAAAAGGGAGCCTTTATTATATATACCAAATGTTTTTTTTTAATATCAGACAGATATAAATAATCAACAGTTAGATACTGATAATAAAAACCATATAATTTTCAGTTTTTGAAGGAATCGATTATTAAAATATTTATGACTTTCTAATTAAATAAACTTTATCCATTCAAATTTTATTTAAAAATGGCACAAGCAGTGCCATTTCAATAGGTAAGTTAAGAATTTCTACATAATTTTGTTACGAAGTTAAACAATCTCTTTTCTAATATGTTGTACGGTATTTTACTTACCTCTGTAAAGGAGTCTGATAATTTGACAGAAAATTTGTCCTCCTCTGTCACAGGGGCAATATAATCTTCGTCGTCGCTAGTTAAACCGAGTTCAGTACCGTAGCATTGATGAACCTTAAAAAGTACAACAAATGCCGTATGACAAAAGATATACTTGATTCCATTTGATATTTAAAAATAACATTAAAAATGTGTATCCCATCAAATTATATTTTTAATCAAATTAAGACTAATAGGATTTTTTACATTTTTGCAAGCGCAATGAAAAAAAAAACAGTGAGATATTTTTGTTTTTGAATTTTCCAAATTTGAAAAGTAGAAGGAAGTAACATTGATAAATAATAATATCCAAGTAATTATAACTAGTATTAAGACTTGCAGGAAAATAATATTATGAATACCTCATTTAACGAATACTTTGTCGGTATTGAATTAAAGTCACTAAAATGTCAGTTACTTTAAATTTGTCATATAAATAGCGTCATAGATCCACACAAATTTTTACCAGATGCTATTTAACTTGAATATTACGTCTAAAATTACTTGTATCTAAAAGTTTCTATTAAGGAGGTTTATCGGGTACGGAGGTACATCTAAAGTCTAACGAAAGTTTCTGTAGATTCGTTAGTGACTAAAGTAGTAAGCCTTTAGATTTGTCAACGTTGCACTTGACTGGCTCGGTCGCCTCGGCGTTCGTTCGCTCGCGTCCAATCATTCTGTTTGCTTGGACACCTGCAAATTTTAAATAATACGCTAGGTCGAGACCGCGACGTTGCCGCTATAGCGCATATGAAGGAAAAGTTAATCAACGGCAGCAGTTTGAAGGAGAATTATTATAAATTATGTATCTTACAAGTACCTAATCGATTTCTACAAGCTGTCATACGGTTCCTTAGATATCGGTTGTCTATTTATACAAGTTGCTGTGGAAACTGTTCGTCAATTGTTGGGCATTCTAAGTGGAAAGACCAAAAAAATCCGCATTCTCATAAGACTTCGTACTAAGTCGTGACAAATTATTTTATTAATATCTTGTCTCTTAGGTATCCAAACAAGTCATAATTCTGTTTGAGGATTTTCTTCATATCAATAAGCTTATATTAATTATTTTATAAATATTTGTTTGTCAATTCCAAATCAGCTCCTTAAGCTAATTATGAATTTCATTAAAATGTATCTTCAAAGTCAATTTCCTAATATAGTGAAAAATTTAATTTTGAATCATTCACTATGCATAGAAAAAAAGGGAACTTCTGCTACATTGCATCGGACATTTCTGTAAATATATTAATGTCAAAGATCTGGCTTTACGTTTTATTATGCGTCATTTTGCTGAAGTGTAACTTAACAACTTATTTTTTCTCAACTCCAAAGATATCGAATTATGAACCAATAAAACACCGTTAGCGGGAAGTATTACTTTCCCTGTTTAATTGAAAGAAATGCGCAGCGGAAGTTCGTCGAGTGCCGTTGGAAACTAATGATGAACATACTCCATCAACAAAAATGTGTGAGTATTGGATTTGATATTTTAGAAGTGGTGATTTCAATATAGTTGACAAAGAACAAAAAAAGTGCGAAGATGAGGAATTGGAAGCATTTTTCAACCAAGATTCTTGTCAAACACAACAAATTTGCTGAATCATTGAATATTGGTTGCACAATAGTTTCCAAACGTTTAAATGCACTCTGTATGACTCAAAAGCAGGGAAATTGGGTGCCATATGAATTGAAGCCGGGAGATGTTGAGTGGCGATTTTTCATATGTAAACAATTGCTTCAATAGCAAAAATTAAAGGGTTTTTTGAACTCTACTGTCAATGGTGATGAAAAATGGATACACTATCACAATCTTATGTGTAAAAAATCGTAGGATTTGCCTGGTCGTGGACATCAACATCGACGGCAAGGCCGAATATTTATGGTTCGAAGCTCATGCTCTGTATTTGGTAGAACCAGTTTGATGTTTGTACTATAAGCTGCATCAACTGAAAGACACCATCACTACTGAACACAATTAATGGTTTCAGCCATGCATTGAAGGAAAAACTGCCGTAATTCAAGCAAAGGTACAATAAAGTCATTTTTCAAGATGGCAAAACTCGACCACATATCACTCATGAAGTCAAAAAATATTTAGAAACGCTGAAATGAGATATTTTAGCTCATCTGCCATATTTACCAGATATTACTCTATCGGATTGCTACTACTTATTCCAATCTATGGAACACGGCTAAGCAGCGCTTCTAATTTTACAAAGATAAAAAAATGGATTGATTGATGGATAACATCAAAATATGAGTTGATCTTTCTACGCAGAATCCACTGCCAGAAAGACGGGAAAGTCTGGCTAGCGATGGGCAACAATTTAAAAAATAATAATACGCACAATATTTCGCAATAAAAAATTAATCCACAGTCACAGTATGATAAAAAATGTCATATTACCTTAATTTAAAATTAAGGATATATTCATTGTGAATAATTACTTAAAACTAGCCTAATTATATGTAATTTTTAACAAAAAAAAAAAAGTTCTTTTTAATTTAGTGTAAAGTCAATGTGAAAATATCCCATTTTAAAGTCACTATGAAAGCATATTTAATAAAAATAGATAGAATACACATAGCAAATAAGCTACATCTTAACAAAAATGCAGTTTCTCTTTAGCATAACTAAAAAGATACAAAACCTACCCATTGCCACATTTCCTGTGCAGACATAGGTTGATCCATAAGAGCATTTTGCCAAAAACGAAACAACATCAGATAGGTTTTGTCCCTGGCAACAAAGCTGGTAAAAAAATACTTGTCGCTCTTGGTACTTATCAACACAGCATTCGGTATAACTAAAGCGGTTTTTTCTTTGGTTATAGAAGCTACGTCCTTCCATTTTAACGTAAGATTAGTTTCCCATCCAAAAATGTTAGCGTAGAAACATAAATAATTTTGCGTTACGTACAATCTACCTTGCACAAGGATCTCCTTTTGCAGGGCACAGGAATAATCTGGAGACAAACATAAGCAAAAGTGAAAACATTGACTGACTGCTGTTGAACTTACAAACAATAAATGGTAACCGATATACGAGGGTGGTCCCAGAAGTACCCGGCCTGACCTAGAGATGGCGGTAGTTGTTTGAAAAATATCACTGTATTAGAAAGTACATAATCTTTAAAGCATATGTTTCAAATTTGAAGACGCCATGTTGTTTAGTATCTGTTTGACAGCCATCAATAGTGAACGTTTTCAGTGAATTTGTGACGATGAAGAAAATTGGTCATTGTCTCCATGAAACAACACTTTCTTCTTAGCCAAATGCTTGATTTCTTCGCTCAAACATTGCTATAAGTTCACATAATACTCGCCGTTGATAGTTTTTCCTTTTTCAAGATAGTCTATGAAAATTATCCCACGCGCATCCCAAAAAAACGACGCCATGACCTTGCCTGCAGATGGAATGGTCTTCGCCTTCTTTGGATCAGTCCATTATTTTGATTGTTCTTTTGTTTTGGGTGTGAAGTGATGGACCCATGTTTCATCCATGGTTATGAAACGGCATAAAAATTCTGCTTTGTTGCAGTGAAACTTTGCTAAACACTCAATTGAAACATCTTCGCGACACTGTTTTTGCTCGAGTGTGAGCAAATGCAGCACCCATCTCGCACACAGCTTTCTCATGTACAAATTTTTAGATAATATGCGATATACCGCACTTTTTGAAATGCCTACTATGTCTGCTAGCTCGCGCAATTTCAGTCGAGGATCATACAGTACCGCTTTGTGGATTTTCTTCACCATTTCTGGAGTCGTCACCTCATTTGGTCGACCACTGCGATGCTCGTCTTGGCAGCTCGTACGGCCTCGTTTAAACTCTGCTACCCAATATTTTTCTGCTGTAAACGAAGGAGCAGACTCACCCAGAGTAGAATCTAGTTCAACTTTTATATTGGTTGGGCTGAGGCCTTTCAAATAAAAGTATTGTATCACATAACGATGACCAATTTTCTCCATTTTCACAAATTCACTGAAAACGTTCACTATTGATGGCTGTCAAATAAATACTAAACAACATGCCATCTCTAGGTCAGGCCGGGTACTTCTGGGACCACCCTCGTAAATTATTGATACTATTGAAAAAAATTGTTTTATCTAAAAAAATATATATAAGTACATTTTCAAATATACTTATTGCTTAATTCAACAGATATAAGTTAATAAGACATATTAATCCAGAATTTGAGTAGATTATTAACTCAATTTTTGATAACAACTTGCAGGTGTACATTTAAGTAGATAAAATAAATTTCAACTGAAATTTTTTTATAAAAATGTCAATAAAGGAAAACATTCATAAGGTAATTAATTTTTTTTTCTTACCAACTACTAATCTCTCATCATCAGGCACTTCTTTGAAAAGTCTCTTAAAGTCCTCAGATCTAGACTTATACGAAGGATAGAAGTTGAACCAAGAAGATTTCTTCTTAGATCTACTGTCCCTTTTATCTCTTATAGAATTACTACCTGATTCACTCTTAGTATCTGCCTGCGGTAGAGTTACTTCAACATTGCTTGTATTACTTAGACGACCACTAATTGAACCTTCCTGACTCTAAAAATAAATTATTAAGGATTTACATGAGGTATTTTTAGATTTCAAAAGAATTTTAATATCTTCCTCCTTTTTTAAAAAAAAAGAAGCTCTAATCCTTCAATTCATCAGCCAATCAATTACTTATGACTTAATTACATTCTGCATCAATATTTTGCCCTATTAATGTTTATTTTATTACATATTTCTTTCATTATTACTACTAACCTGAGTCATTTGTTAAAATATGACGATCACTGTGGAAATATTCATGAACTCCACTTCAATACATCTACTACTAAAATCATTATCATTTTCATAAATTATTGATTAACTTATCAACAAAAATCAAAACAGCTTTGTTGTTTATGTTCTATTTAAGTCAGTACCTGATAAGTAGTCCCTTTTGATAAAGGTACGTTAATTCTACAACGTTCACAATAATTATTGTTTATGTACCTCACAAACTAGGATAAAAAATGTTATCTTTACATTTAGCAGGAATATGAGTTTGTGAACAAATTTTATAAATGTATTAGTTTACTGATAGGAATATACACAACCACTGAAACACCACTGAAAAATTAAATTAATTTAAGCGATTTAAGTAAAAAACTAAAGAAATAATTATAATAAAAATATATCTTGAAAAGTACGGATAATTTACTTCAAATATATTGCAATAAAGGCTGAATTGAAGTAAAACTAATGGTGTCTATCAAAACTTAAGTTGCTTGAGTACTTCAGAAACATTAAACTAAAATTTATCATTTAATTGTAACTAGATATGTATGTACAGCCTCAACAAGAGAAATACCTCCTATTTTTATACGACTAATGATTCACAAGGAATATTTTACAAGTATTATTTGATATGCTCCACTGTAAAAGACTGAAGTTTGCTTATGACCTGATATTATACATGCTATTGCCAATTTTTATTACTGTATTTTATACAGGGACAAATTATTCTTTTGCAATTCATCATCCAGTTGTAAATCTAACATGCTACAATAATCTTATAATACTGATACACACTGTATTAGAGGGACCCAATTGCCTACTAGATTTATGAGTTATTTTGTCAACTTATTTATAACAATGGTATTACATACCTATTAGTAATATTGTAGTCAGCATACATTGTGAACATTCTATATTCCTGACTATAAGAATTTTATTGATGTGTCAGCTTTGACAACTTTATATTTTAATTTAGTTAGAACAAAATTAGGATATGCTCGGCTTATCTGGAATCCTATATACAAGGTGGGTTCCAAAGTAAACAAGACTTTTTAAAAGTTTTTTTAGCAAAACCAATTAATTGGCGATTGGCACAGTCTAAAAGCATGTTGAATGAGTGTTTTAGATTGTCGACCAAGATGTCCTTCAGGATGTCAGTACAAGCCTTTTGGATGGCTTCTATATCCACAAAACGCTTTCTTTTCATAGATAAATGCATTTTTTCGAAAAGGTAAAAGTCACACAGTACCAAATCAGGCGAATACGGGGATTAGTTGACAGTTAAAATGCGATTTTTAGTCAAAAAATTGATCACAAGTATTGATCGATGAGATGGCGCATTATTATAGACAAACGTCTATTTCCTTATGTGCGATATTCTGGCCAAATATGATGCACCAAATGCTTCAAAACGTCAAGGTAGAATTGTGTATTAACGGTTTGGCCCTGTTGAACGAACTCTTTGTGGACAATGCTCTTAGAATCAAAAAAGCAAATCAACATTGTCTTCACTTTTGACTTGTACAAACGAGATTTTTTGGATTTTGGCTTGTCTAATACCTTCCACTTGGTACTTTGTGGCTTGGTTTCTAGATCATATTGAAAACACCAAGTTTTATCACCAATCACAATGTTATAAATGAAGGTTTTGTTCTTTTTGACCTCCTTGATGATGTCCTTCGAACAAACCGTGCACACTTTTCGGTAACTCAAATGTTCGGTCAAAATGTGATAAACTGATGTTTTTGAGATGCTCAATTTCAATTCCATAAATTTCGTTGAAGATTTTGGCTCATCTTTGATGAATTCACACATAGTTTTGATGAAAACTGCAGTGATCATGGATTTCAGTTGGCCAACATGTTGCTCATTATTTATGTCCTCACAACCGTTTTTAAACCGCTTATACCACTCATGAACTCTGCCACGGGATAAACAATCATCACCATAAACTTAGTTCATCAATTGAAACGTTTCAGTAAAAGTTTTACCAAGATTAAAACAAAACTTAGCATTAGTTCTTTGGGATGCTCATTTTTGTACCGATGACACAAACGTACTATCACTTCAGTACATCAAAGTACATCAGTGAAGGATCTACCTTTCCAATGCATGTAATTGCACTTAGATGGCCGCTGTTGGCAAAGCTCAAAAAAATATTTTTACTTAGTTTAGCCCAGAGGTAGTTGAATTACTAAACAGATTGGATTTTATATCTATACAGGAAGCAGACAGACATCTGCTTTGTTTTTGTAATGACAAAGTAAAGTTGACTCCTACTTTATTGTCTCAAACTAATTATTATTATTTTAGTGTAGATAATAGCCTTCTTATATTAACTTTATCCAATTACATCCAAGATACAATACATTTTTTATCCAAAACGGAACAATGCAATTTTTTAATCAGATATGATAAATGATTGTATCCCTTACCACAAATTCAAATAAACTTCATTTATAAATAAATAGAAGGAAAATTTCAACACTACATTTATAGCTCATTAGTGACTTTATTTAATTACTTGTTTATTTAAATTTAAATACATGACATGAGTTTTATTCCCTGTTTAATATGTAACCACTATATTTTGAACTGCTCATTCAAATTTAATTATGACGTTTATTCAAGCCTAAAGTGTCTATTTATTTACTTCAGCTATAAAATTTGAAAAATACTTCTAGAAAAATTTAATTATCTTAATGCTTCTAATGTGTTTAATATCTATTAAAATATCAATATGAGGAAGTATTCGTTATGGTTTATATGTAGTATAACTGATACTGGTCATAATAAAATAAATAAATTTCAATAAAAAAAATGAACAAATATTAGCAGTTACTCTTTTTATTTGAATATTTCTATCACAATGAAAAGAAAAATTTTAAATAAATAACCCCTTGTGTCAAAAGCATCAGTCATGGAGTTGAAATTATAAATTTAGTTTTGCCTAATCAAAAATACTTCATACTTCATAAATGACTACAAGCCACATGACCAGTATTTGTTTGGAACAGTAATTTTATTTCATTCACGTTAGCAATTAATTTCAGTAAAATTAAAACAAGATTAAAACACAACATTCTGTTTCACTGTCTGGCGATTGGTGTAACTTTTCATGAGATTTTATTCAATCAATCAGCGATTGCAATATCTCGAGCGTAGACATAATGTTTTGTCATTATTCATTGTAAACGAATCATTAATATTGGTGACGATAAGATTTGCGATGTTGGTTGCCTAAGCTGAGCCGTCATGTGGCTTGCAAACATTCATGAAGGCTCTGTTTCCCACTCTGGGAGAATAAATAATTCTTCACAAATACACTATAACCATTATAACATCCAAAAACTTCTCTGTCTCATTATCAAAACTGTCATTATCAAACTGACAAAGTCAAACCTAATTTTTGTTTTATAAAAGTAAATATATATATTTTTTTATGAACAGTACCAAGTATTCGACATATTAAAGAGAGTTTAAAACATTTTTTTTTCTTGAATGTTATATATCTCTAAGGCTTGGCAAAATATAATAAATAATACCATAACAAATTGTTGCTGAGGAGAGAAAGTAAAATAAATTTGTCTTGGACAATGTGTTTCCATCTAATGAATTGTTGAACAAATTCCAACATGGTTGTTTAGAACACTGTAATTTCTTTTCATCAGTAAATGTAATACGATTGTTTTTACAAATTATATATGGACTGTAGCATATACTTCTTTTTTAATGTATATAACATTATTAAAATCTTTTGTTCTGAAAATGATTCATTTGTTACATGATTTTTTTATATTTTTTGTTATTTACTGGACCATAAAGAGAAAGATGTAATTACTCGACCATGAATATTTCATAATAACTGAGGTTAAAGTATTGTAAAACTATTTGGGTTTACAATAACAAAACAGTCCAAAAATGTAACCCATTAGTAAAACCTGATATATTACGTTTTAGGATATAAAAGGCTGCATCATCTCCAAAGTGTTTCTCTACATAATAGAACAAAACGATATATATTCAAATGTAATTCTATTTGCTGATTCTCTTTATTTTAATGTGGCATTACCTATTTACTCTTATTAATTTATCATTATTTTTCTGCAACCTAGAAACAATAAACATGGGAAATATAATAAATGAATAATAAAAAATCATATTTTTATATCAAACAAAATAACTCCTAATTTCTAGTTTAATAAAACAATTTCAGGATAACTAAAATTCAGGTATTTTTTTCATGGCGCTAAAAAAACTAGTAAAAAAATAATAAATGTATTTGTCACCCTAATAAATACTTACAGAAAATAATTTTAACAGAAAGTAAGGTAAAAACAATTTCATTCATTTACCTTTTTATTATTATGGGTACCTGCTTTTTTTCTTCTAATTTTGTTAGCTTTTGTTTTCGTGATTTATATTTCTCTCAAAGCAAACTCTAAAAATCCTCAAGCTGCAATATATTGCATCTGTTTAAAATATAATCAAACTTGGATATATCCTACTCCACTACAGTGAATCTCCGATTATAATTAATAAATTTGAAGGCCCAAACTTACATTAGATGTTGAAAATAATCGTTAATAGTGATCTGGTACTCGGTTTTTAAGTCTCACCATAGGGATCTCTGTTATCATAAGAGATAGAGTTTTCATAAATGTTTATAAGCCACGTGACAGCCGTGCTTAGGCAACCAACATCGCAGGGCTGGTACTGGTAACCGAAAATCCCTAAATCTTGTCATCACCAATATTAATAATTCGTTTACAATGAACAATGACAAACCGTTACGTCTAAACTCAAGATAATGCAATAGCTGATTGGTTGAATACAATCTCGTGAAAAATTACACTAATCACAGCCGGTGAAACAGAATTTTAATTTTTTTAAATTTTAATGTAATCTTCATCTGATTGTTATAATAATTTTTAATTTTACCGAAATTTAAATGCCAACAAGAAGGAAATAAAATTACTGGTCACATGGCTTGTAATCACTTATGAATGCTCTGTACAAAGATGGTCAAATTAAGACAAAGTTAAGAATTCTTTTCCCAAAGAGAAATTTGATATGCCTCGTTTTCAAATTATTGGTGGAAAATTTAAAACTTTGCTTTGCTTTGAAAGAAGTAGATCTTTTAAGCTAACAATAAGATATTATTATGGCATTTTTCTGAGAATTTGAGTATGTCATACATTAGCTGTAGTGCCTTCTGGATCAAGATTCGAAAATATCATATTTATATAAATATCATTATATCGGATATATATCCCACATTTATCGAACATATATCAAATTGTGATATTTATTTCGTAATGTTTATCTATTTTTTCTAAAAACAAATTTTTTGACATGTTATTCATCATAAAGTTTCGTAATTTTACCCTAACTTGACCAACCTTAAATCTCTTACATCTGAGATCGCCATCTCAAAATATCAGGCAGGGATATAACTTCATGTTTATTTTGCCATTTCTCTTATTAAATAACAACATATGTACTTATGTCTATTTACTATTACCTTCTTCAGTAATGGTATGATCTGTAAGAGACATCGTCTACAAAGAACATAGTTTTGAAGTCCCTTGAGATTCATTATAACTGACGGTGACTGTATATATTTTTTTGTAACATAAGTTGTAAAAAAAGATACATGTTTATAAGCCTGCAACACATGCCTCATGATAAATTTATCGCCTGATTTACCATACACAGTTTAAACCACTAAAAAAATGTTTATCTAAATACATAATATGAAATTACCGGAAATTACAGTAACTTTGCTGGAGTGCTTACAAACCACAATACAACAGAACGAAGCTTCAGAAGTGAATGTTTTGACACTTTTTACTCTGATAATTAATTGCTATTAATGATTAAAATTTATATATACTTTTTTCTTTGACAAGTAAAAAATAATTATCTAGCTAATTATCATTAGCGTCATTCCAATCATTACTTATACACAAAAATTAAATCACGAAGTAAGAAATTAAGTTTGATTAAATTTATAAAGTATTTTTTATTATACAATATATAGCGATGTATGAAACATATTGAGTAAACAACGGGAGAATACTTACTGAATTGGATGAAACTACGAAATAGACTCATATCGAAAGATAAATCAGGCAGCAAAAATGTGAAAGAGAAGGTGTCCTATCCTAATATTCCGTGTAAGTACACGGAACTGCTTTTTGGGATCAAACTAAATCTGTTTAACTAATTTTACCTCTGTTCAAAGTTGCTTCATTTAACCACTAGAGGCCATCAAAGTTGGCAACATATTTTAGTTTATTTTTTTATTATTCTAGAATACTTTGTCCCCTTTCGCTTGTTCATTATTTTGTGATGGCTATGTATTATGTATGTAATTCATGTATGTCATATTTGACATAGTAACCAAAGTACATAACTATATTTATAGAATTGGGAAAAATTCTCCCACGCCTAAGCAAATATATACATTTTTTCACTGCATGTTTGACACAGTAAATAAATTAATGCTTGTGGAATTGTACTTGTAATTGAACGTCCTTTCAAGAAAATTTAACTTTTGAATGTTCTTTCCTTTCCTTTTTCCTGGAATGGCAGCTAACTATTAGTTATGGGTAAATATAAAAGCCATTAACATAAGTAAAAAAATAATTAATTTTTAACCCTAAAGGTTACACATTTTAAAGTTATAACTTTCTCAATTCAAAACTGCAAACTATTGCAATTTTTTAAGGGACAATTTTTTAAGAAATGGGCGTAGCCGGGGGAGGCAGAGGGGCCGTGGCCCAAGAGAAAAAAATCTAATACCTACAATTTAAAAAAAATTAAAAACAATTAATTGTAGCAGGTGTAAAATTTTCAATTCTAAGGAATTTATACTTAGAGTCAAAATGTAGGCCTATTTAGAGTTTAATAAAAATTATTTACGTATGCTTCATTTTTTATTTTTACTTATGTTCCCAACAGTTTGCTTCTCATGCGCTATCTATGTGAAAAACACCTTTAACATAAGTACTACACTTGTCTGATAATTGCACAAGAAATGAAGGAGAAAATGGTGTTTTAAAGATAAATAGACCAAAAAAATATGAACCTGACAGTCAAAATTAATCATAGGTACCAATGTAAATAAACGAATAAACAAATAAACAGCAAACAGTGAAATTAATTTCCATACCATTCCAGTTATTATCATTAAATAATTATTAAAGATATAGGTACTTATTTACTTACAGAAGGAGATCCTTCATGCTTGAATGATGATTGGTCTTTGTTATAATTTACAGTCAAAAGTATGTCCGATTTAGAATGATCCCTTTTAGTTTGTGGTCTAGGTGATGGCCTAGGACTACTTCTAGGGCTAGAACATGGGCTTATAGATCTAAAACAATGGACAGCGGAGTTATAGTTACCTATATTTGCAATTACAAAGTAAATTTACTTGTTATCAGTGTTTATAGCTTGTTGCCTTTCATTTGCTGTAATACTTGTTGAGGACAAATTCGTCTTCATTTTTCTTCCGAGCCGATTTTCTTCATACTGATTTGCCTTTCCTGGGCAGTTCGCACAAAAGAGTTAATGTACTTATGTTTACTTTGTGGTTTAAACTATTGTTAATCGCTTACGTTATAATTCTCAAAACAAAGAAGGTGCCGATATTGTGAACACAACCACTAAAACTACATCATAAGCCAAGTTCACTTTTTATTACCGTCAAGTGTAATTGAATATTGAGATTTTTGCAACTATACGAAATGTGAAATTGCCGACAACAACGAGTACATTTCTTATTCAATCGCTCGTCACCCCCACCCATTAAAAAAAATTGACAACCTCCTTGTACAATGTATTATTCGATGCAAAAACATCAGCGCTTAACTATAAAGCTACGTTCACATAATAGCTCTGCTCTAGCGTTTTATGGTGATTCCTGACACGAAGAAAAGCACCTTAAAAATTGTTTTAATTCATCTAGATCTCTAGGTTAGAACATACATTTTCAGAAAGATAAAAATATGTAATTATTATAAAATAATAATAAAATAATAATTTTATTTCATATATATTTAACAATCGGAACTTTTTACTGTTTAATTTTCAAATATAATTAGATATAGCACTACCCATATTTATATTTAATGTTATGTGTTTTAAGTGAATTATAATTTCAAAGTCACATGAGGGTAAATTTAAAGGTGACCCATCACGACAACATACTGCGATGACTGAAATACGTATACAGGGTGTAACATCGATATTGCGATAAACTTAGGTACAGACTACAGAGTTCATTTCTGCGCCAAAGCAAACAAAAAAATGAGAGTACAATTTCAGCTAATAAATAAACCAATTTCTAAGGCTTGTATTTTATGATCCTTCAAACATCGTGGATATGGTATAGTCGAAGCACAGTTTTTGTTTAATTATTCAAGGAATATTATACAGGGTGTCTCATAATTAGCTGCCAACCCTGAACAGGCCGATTCTATGATCAAAACTAAGTAAAAAAGTTCATATGAACATGGGTCCGGAAATGCTTCCTAAGGGCACAGGGACCCATTGAAGAGGGAGGAATGGAAATCATTTTTTTGCAATATCTCTCAATCGCGTTGTGATAAATGAATGAAATTTGGTATACACAGCTAAATTTTGATGAGCAATTTGATGGACTAATCCATTTATTTCCACAAGGTCCATTGGGGTGGGTACGGGGGGGCCCTTGGTACTTTGCGTGTGTAACTTTTTCATCTTTGACTTTTTAACAAATTGGACAGCAAATTCCGTTTTCCCGAACTGTTTTACGTTAAAAAGGTACTCTTGTTTCAAATCGTTATCTTTAACGGTTTCTGAGAAAATCGCTCTTGAATTAATCCCACTTTGGTCAATTTCATAGTAATTTAAACAAAAAATAATAATAATAATTTAATACGTAATCAGTAATACACATTATTGATGTAGAACAATTATGATATGATGATTTGTTTATGGCTTTTGCGATGGTAATGCTGCGCGGCAGAACGCGAGTACGGCAGAAGGTTTCCAAACAGAAGGCTGACATCAAGGAGGACATTCCTCACTGTATTCCGCAATTTAGCTGCAACCGTCACTTTTCGAAGGGATCATAAGATGGAAACTTAATTTTGATAACAGACAACAAGCTATTTTAAAAACTGTTCAAAAAACCCTCCACCTTCTCTGATACAAAGTCTTGCCCTACGTGTAACACTTCTCGAAGCTATTAAGATGCTAAAACGGTTTTGACGAATTTCATTGGCTGCATCATTGATACGCTGCAGCAATTCCTCACGGGTATCGACTTCGGTGGCGTAAACTTTTTGATTTAGATATCCCCAGAAAAAGAAGTCCAGCGGGGTTAGGTCGGGAGAACGCGGCGGCCAAGCTACCGGTCCGTGCCTCCCTATCCACCGTCCAGCGAAATTTTCGTTTAGGAAATTTAGAACATTGCGACCACTATGTGCCGGGGCTCCATCGTGTTGAAAAAACATGTTACGTCGTAAATTTAGAGGCAGATCATCGAGAATTTGGGGAAGATTTTCTTGAAGTAAGTTTAAATAAAGATTTGAATTGAGACGTTGTGGAATTTCAATAGGTCCAATCAGAGTGTCGTGAATTATTCCCGCCCATAAATTTATGGAAAACCGTTGCTGGAAGTTTGTTCTCCGAACAACATGTGGGTTCTCTTCTTCCCAATAATGAGAATTATGAAAATTTAATTTTCCATTTCGGGTAAAAGTAGCTTCGTCACACCACAAAATTTTGGAAGCTTGCTCGTTGTCCAGCGACAAAATCCAGCGACAAAATTGCATACGTGGCGCAAAATCTTCTGGTATCAAGCCATGTACACGTCGATAGTGATAGGCATGTAGACCTTGTCGCTTTAATATTCTTCCAACCTGAAATGTTAGTAGCACATCTAATCAATTCTGTTAAGGAAATCTTTAAGATATGTAGTACCGTTGGCCGAGGAACATTTATTTGCCTTGAAATGTTCCGTATGCTAGTCGTAGGATCTTGTTCAATAGCGTCAAGGACCTCCGCTTCCCTATTAATCCTGGGACGTCCTTGACCCGGTGCCTTTCGAAAAGTGGCGGTTGCAGCTAAGTTGCGGAATACCGTAGGGAATGTCCTCCTTGATGGCAGCCTTCGGTTTGGAAACCTTCTCCCGTACTCGCGTTCTGCCGCTGCAGCATTACCATCGCAAAAGCCATAAATAAATATCATATCAACTAACTCTTGTCCCGTAAACTCTTCCATTTTTTTCGCTTAGAACTATTAAATTGGCAATCGGGTTGACAATACTTTGACATAAGAATACCTTGATTTTTTTGTTTAAATTACTATGAAATTGACCAAAGTGGGATTAATTCAAGAGCGATTTTCTCAAAAACCGTTAAAGATAACGATTTGGAACAAGGGTACCTTTTTAACGTAAAACAGTTCGGGAAAACGGAATTTGCTGGCCAATTTGTTAAAAACTCAAAGATGAAAAAGTTACACACGCAAAGTACCAAAGTAAGTAAATCACAGTAGTTTTTTTACCTTCATATACAATAATTTGTAAAAAAAAAAACTGATCCTTGGCGTCGGAATTAGGAGAGATCTGGAAAGTTTCAATGGCATAAAAAAATGTATAGCTTATTGTCATATAATATTATTCTACAGTGAAAGTTTATGCAGACTGTATAGGCAATTTCAGTAAAAAGTCTATATAAATTTTTATTTGATTTAAAAAATGTTAATTCAACTTATGACGTACTTAACTATGGACGTTGTTATTACCATGTTATTACAGTAAACTTCTTATTTAAAGTAACTCCTCGCTGACTTTATATTTCTAGTTAAAGGACAGTACCTAGTATGAGATTTTAGTTGAGCTTCCTATTAACGATCGCCATCACAGACCACTATGGTCTATGATCGGCATAATTAAGGCATAGTTTCGCACGTCACACCTGTGCGCCAAATTCGTTTTAGTTTTAAAGTATATATTTTATTAATTTTCAGGTTGATTTCATACAAAAATAAAACAATACAATTTACTTAATTACTTTAAACATATTTGTCGTCGTAGAGAATCTCCTTATTTGGACAAGCCATTTTTCATTAAAAAGCCAAGACATTGGAAATTCGTCAGCAGCGCCCCCATACATAAAAGCTAATTAATTCGCTTTAATTTCTTAACAATTTTTAACATAATTATGAAAAAAAAAAGTTTCCCTTCCGTATTTTTTTTTCACTCAGAATCAGACAAGCGATATTTGTTTTTTTTTTTATAAATCACGTATGTGATATTGTGCAATACCTAGGTATATGACATACCCGCATTCTTACTTGCGTCACGTGTAGTGTAGGTATACATTAGTTCAATGTTTAAATATGTAGATGTAGATGAAAAATTTGTCAAAATATTTTTATCTTCATTTTTAAACTAGGTACCTATTACATTTTTTACAAATTGTTTGTTTTGTAAAATGTAAGTATGCCTAAACGTAATTCTTATAATTATATTTTAATTCATCCATTTTTAATTTCAGTTCGCTTTTAGAATAAACATAGGTAATTTAATCTTAGGTGTATTATCTTACCACGCCGCTGATCAGACTCCGTTAGATAGTCTGTGGATGTACTCGTTACCCATGCTTTTCATTTTAGATTTAGGTTTTATACGCCGCGGTCGAAATTATAGAGAGTGACTCAGACATAATATAAAAACACTATTACCATAATGCGTAAAAAATATAAAATGATTTTTATACGGTTCAATCATAGGGTTCAATATTATTTATCTTTGTGCCGCTCGCTACGAACATCGACAGAATCTATACTCGTCTATAGACTAAGTTACACTGAACGTCGATCTATATTCTATCTCTGTCTTTTGCACTTGGTAGGGAATAGGGAAATGCTTTTTTAGTGGGTATAAACGGACTTGATTTATCCGTCCTGAGAAACATCATAGCATAAGCGTAGACGAGGGGTCTAATTCCATGGCTATAATAAATTTATAAATTAAAAAACACAACTAGGACGTTTTAAAATGCTGTAATAATTAAAATGGATCAAAGTGCCGGTTATAGCAAACCGTAAAAAAATATTAGATGTTATGTTTTATTATCTTTTTTCAATATTTTCTATATCTTGTTGCCTTTTACGCAGACACGCCAATGGATTTTCGTTCCCGGCACGCTTCATCCCCCTTAGTATACTGACTAGTCCAAAAGCTAGCGATGAGTCACTCTCTATAATTTCGACCGCGGAGTATAGTATTATTTATAACTGGTAAGTACTGGTAGTAAGTACTACTCTGGTAATTATAAACTAATTTCATTTTTTTATCTGCCGTACCTATACACTTAGCTATTTTCAAAATACATGTTTTCGTGATGTTTAGTTTATGATTCGCCTGCGCAAGTGCGCAAGCGTATTTTGAGTTGATTTTGTAAACAAATTTATTGTGTGTATAATTCCATCCATGCTTTTTCTAAAACCGTTAGTTTGCGTATGTAATGTACAGGTTATTATATCATTAAACATGTTACAAAAAGAATTAAATGAATGTCTTCCCAAAATAATATTTCAAAATATAATTTTATGAACCAAGAGAATGTTGAATGTTTTTAGGTTTGGTTGTATTTTCATAATAGTAAACGCGCCTTTAGTAAAAATCATCTAATTCCGAGAGAGAAAGACGCCGAATGCGATACTCATTAGGTTAGAGTGAAATAGGAATATAGAGAAATGACCGACAAGCCACAACATTGGCGAGAGGGCGAGAGGTATACGTACAGTTCGGAGTTCGTTCAGACGCCATAAGTGAATAGTGAATTTGTGTTTTAAAATTGGGATTATAGCGACAACAATGAGATTGAGTAAGTAATTTTGTAGTTAACTGAATTATTTTGTGATTTAGACGATAAATTGGGTGTATTTGCGTTGACAGTTTCTTTATTTTCTTGTTTCCCTCATTTTTTCTACCAGTTTACCCCAAGCTGTTTCAAGCGTAAACAACAATACGAGCATTTCAGTTGAGTTTCTCCAAACATAATGGATAGTTTACTTGGCTTGCCTTTAATTTCTTGACGATAGTCAATTGACTGTCACATTTTCCATTGTTTTGGTTTAATATTATGTGCCACTATGATGTGTGACATAGAAAATGCGTACCGGCCGCGTAATTTATAGACTAACCATTAATTCTAAGTTTTGTATTAGTGTTTCCCCGCAAAAAAATATGTTATTAAAATAATTTATATAAGTTATTGTGCGAAGTGGTAAACGTGAAGTAAAGCAGTTATATTCGGTCGCCTCCAAGATCGCATTAGTATACCGTACCGTGTTACATTTCAAGGGCATTTATACATCATTAATTTGGAAATAATGATTTTTGAGATTAATCTGTTCCATTCTCGTCTAAATTACTTGATCCTACGTTTAGAAATTGAAAATATTTATTTTAATTATTAGATCATCTCTGAATATAGTCGCTTAATGACAACACAGGTGAGTATCTAAGTATAAATAAACAAATACCTAGTCAAAGTTTAACGTAAAAGGTTTCATATCCTAAATATTACTGTATTTTGTCATAAGGAGTAAGTTATCTATTCCCACTACTGCACTCGTACAGTTTAATCTTGTCAGAATTACGCTAAATACATTTTTACTTAGGTAACTACATACGTATAGTAGGAGTAGGTATGGCTACTTAACAAATTTTGAAACTATTAGTACGGGTGTACGTATCAACTACCTACCGACTTAAAAATATTACGTAATATTTGAAAACATTTTTGTTGTTATTAAAACAAGGAGGCGAAGGGGTAAGCAAAACAGTAATAAAGGATTCAAGAGCGCTTGGTACCACTAAAAATAGCAACTGATGAAAATCTGTACCTACAGAGTAAATGTGTGGCATTTTGTTTTGGGTTGGCTATTGTATTATTCTATCTAATGTAACATTTATTTTATTTGTAATATAAGCTGAAGTCCATTAGTACGACAAAGTACGGAAGCTTTTCATAATTATTGAGGCATTAGGTTTAAAATAATTTTCTGTTCATTTATAAGAACTGTAAACGATTTTCATCTCTTTGAAAATCCTTGTACCTAGTTCTAAATAATAAATTAAAGATATCAACATTTTGAACAATACGTTGATTGTTACGGTTTTGTTAAATTGTTATTATGTTAGATATTTAACTAATTGTTTTCATTTCTTTTGATTAGGTAGATAGGTACTGCGTTGTTAATTGAATTAACTAGACTAACTTAGGCTTAATTTTAATAGCACTATCGGCCATGGATTATTATAAAAACAGAATTAATAATGGATGATAATGTCCAATAATTTTTATACGTAGGTATATAGGTATACAAAAAAAAGTGAAATGTAGGTGTCATTAGAATTAGCAAAAATAACTAGGTATACGCACATACAAATATCATAATGAAAGCAAATAAAAAAGAACACAAAATGAGACACTTGAATACAGGGTGTTCATTTGAAAAATCGGAAAAAAATGCGTTTGAAATTCGTAAAGGTCTATAAAAACACCCTTTTAAAGTAAATGTATTTTAATAAATTAATTATATGTGTTGTAATGAATGTCTCATAGATCTGAAGTGGTCGGCTAATAGAGACCGACCGAATGTGATTTTTATGGCCGAAGCCGAAGCCGAACTTAGGTTTATGGGTCACCTTCGGCCGAAGCCGAAGCTGAAGATATTTTTATGAACTTGAAAATTTTAATTAATAACAAAAATATGATAAGATAACATAAAAGTAAGTCGAACATAAATGCATAATGTTTTGGAAATATAATATATGTAGGATGTTAATTAACTATGTACATTAAGTTCAACAGACGATTAATTGAGTGATTTTAATACAAAAAGTTCATATAAACATTGGTCCGCAGATGCTTCGTTTTCAGGATACAGGGTGTTAATCTTTTATAAAAAAAAATGCTATCTTTTTTAATATTTTAAAAACCCTTTACCCAATTTTGTTGTAATTTGGCAGTGTTATTTATAGTGTTAAGGGGCTAATTTAACCCTAATTTGATTAGATTAGTCCAGCGGCGTCCCGAACGGTACCTTCGGCTTCGGCGAAAAGTTCGGCTTAATTTTGGCCGAAGCTGATTCTTAGTCGAAGGTATAAATAATGGCCGAATGTGGCCAAAGCCGATGCCGAAGCCGATTAATCGGTCGGTCTCTATCGGCTAACCATTGTTTTTCAAATTGGCAACTATTATTGTTTGAAAATTATTTCAAGATTCTATACAGGGTGGCCGCCGAGGTATCCGAATTACTTCGTATATGAATTATATGACTAATTTTAAGCAAAAAGGATTCTATTCACTTTTCCGAATTCCAAATGGTTCTTGAAATATCGGGGTTCGAAGTTGCCAGGTCGTATGGGTAGCTAAAGCTAAAAAGCATTATTATTGCGACTAGAGGGCTTACAAAAAATGTTTATTTTAGTAATAGCGTAATGACAGTACATTATTAAAGCTGCTCAATGTGACCACTGCCTTGTGTAGTGCATAACTCAATTATCTGTCGAAGTTCTTGTTCCCATTTGTAGTTCTCCATTTTGTGTTTCACCTCATAAAACGCTGTATGAATCATCTCAATAAGTTGCTTTCTGCAATTATGCTTTTCCATTGAATAGGCAAGACCAACGGGTTGAGATCCGAGATCGCGTTGGCCAAGCAATGGGACCACCACGACCTGTCCATCGATTTGGATACTTTTCATTAAGGAAATTAGTGACATCTCTTCCATAATATGACGAAGCACCAACGTGTAAAAAGAACATCGTCATTCTGATTTGAGTAGATCGTTCTCCAAAAAAGACCGGTACATCTCACTGTTCAAATTTCCGTCGAAGGAATGAGGTCCGATAACTTTATTAGTTATTAATTGTTCCAGTCCAAACGTTTACGGAGAATCTTCACGTGATCGTTGTGGAAATTGTTGATTCCGTCTCTTGTAAGTGTAACTTCACAGAAAAGGGTTTGCTGAAAGAGTATCCTAATAATAGCTCCACTATTCACAAAGGCGAACTCTTTGGGGAAAATCTATGGGGAGAAGTTCTCGTACTGATTGGTAATGATAGGTATACACTCCGTTTTCTCGCAGTGTCTTGCACAACCGTGCTACTTTGTCCAGTAAGTACAGAAATTTTTTTCATATTACCAGCACCAGGATCATTTTCAAAATGCACTTCTCTTTCACAAGTTGGTTTACGGAATGCACCTGTTAATCGGTAGAGTTGTGAAGGTTCTATTGAATGTTTGCTTGTCTGGAAGACTGCGGTTTGGTTATTGTCGTTGATATTCCCTAATTGAGACGATGTTATAGTCTTTCCGATATCAATTGAAGAATCAAGAGGTTGATAGTATGTACCAGGTTCGCTCGCTGACGCAGCAACTCGTCATTGAAATATTTGAAAAACTTGTTCCCATATTTATTTAACCATACCCATATACAGGTACGCCTATGAAACTCATTAAATTTTGTTGCCAGGCATTTTTTTACATATTTAACTGACTTCGGAAAGACATTACTACCGTTGCACGAAAAACATGTCCGCGTCTTCATTTGAATAAATTAAAGGCATGATTTTAACTCTAATGACGCAAAAAATAAAAAAGAACCAACTGGCAATGATGAGAATTAACACAACATTTTTTTCTAATCCCATCCATTATTATTAAAGCCCTCTAGTCTCTAGTCGCAACAATGTAATTTACTATTTAGCAATTGCAACTATCCTTACGACCTTCAAACTACGATATTTCAAGAACTGTTGAGAATTATTTTTGCTTAAAATTATTCATATACCTAATTAATATACGAAGTATCACCACGGATACCTCGGCGACCACCCTGTATAAGAAACTTTCTAAATAATAGGTTTAACAATGTTGTAACTAAATGTAAAATTAAATANCCGTCTCTTGTAAGTGTAACTTCACAGAAAAGGGTTTGCTGAAAGAGTATCCTAATAATAGCTCCACTATTCACAAAGGCGAACTCTTTGGGGAAGATCTGTGGGGAGAAGTTCTCGTACTGATTGGTAATACACTCCATTTTCTCGCAGTGTCTTGCACAACCGTCCTACTTTGTCCAGTAAGTACAGAAATTTTTTTCGTATTACCAGCACCAGGAACATTTTCAAAATGCACTTCTCTTTCACAAGTTGGTTTACGGAACGCACCTGTTAATCGGTAGAGTTGTGAAGGTTCTATTGAACGTTTGCTTGTCTGGAAGACTGCGGTTTGGATATCGTCGTTGATATTCCCTAATTGAGACGATGGTATAGTCTTTACGATATCAATTGAAGAACAAGAGGTTGACAGTATGTACCAGGTTTGGTCGCTGACGCAGCAACTCGGCATTGAAATATTTGAAAAACTTGTTCCCATATTTATTTAGCCATACTCATATACAGGTCTGGTCGAACGAAACGTGCAGGTGGTAGAAATGTATACGCCCAGTTGAAGAATGAGCGTGCGGGCAAACAGCAATATGCACTGTTGCTCTGGTCTATTGCGTCATAAATTTCAGTTGTCGACAAGGCAGTGCAGTGCAGCAATGCGGAATTAGGTATGATTCAGATAATTTTAATAGGCACCCTTCTATTAATCATTCATATTATAATTGCGAAAGGGAAAAATAAAAGGGATATTTGGTTTACTCATATTATTACATGTCATTCTGGAGACCTTTTGAAACGGAACAAAAAGAAATTTACCACCAATATAATAAAATTGTTTGAGGACATATATAATTAAAATATGTTGTTGGCCAAATGATCATATAATAGAAGCATTTTGTTTTGGGTTGGCTATTGTATTATTCT